TGACCGGCGAACCCTTTCAGAAGCAGGACTGCCTGTGGTTTCGTCACAATATGGCAAGCAGATCGAGGGTATAATATAGGTAAACATAACCTATATTACTAAGAAGGACTTCTTTCCTATATTCTATGCTGCTTTCTAGGCCGCCCTAACCCCCGAAAACATTCAAGGGGGTTTTAAAGGTGCTAGACTCATTCCTCTTAATCCTAAGAAGGTAATATCCCAGCTCGACATCTGTCTAAAGACGCCAACGCCCTCGAACTTGCAGCCCGGCAGTGCTTATACCTAGGTTTCCAAGATCTTAAATAACCTAACCGAAGCCTCTATATAGTCCACCCTTATCAAGAATCGAATTGCCTAGCATCAAAATAGCTCTCCGACTGAGATTTTAAGAGCGGTTAATATCTTTGCGAAAGGGACGTCCAAGGTTATATATCAATTGGCATTATTAAGAGCAGAGAACCAAAAGTCTCCGAGCAGCAAATAAGGCACTAAGCAAGCGTCAGAAGACTAAAAGACAATTGCTCTAGCAAGTAGGATCGCTTTCTATATAGGATGTATAGGATCTAGAGGGTTAGAGAGAGGTTAAGGTGCAGATAAAGGAGGAAACACGGGCGGGTAGTGGTCGGAGGCCAAGGGTCGAGATGCGCGTGTGGCGCTATAGCACCTGCGGCGAACCTGGCCACAATGCACGTACCTGTCAGGTAATTGTGGAAACGTCTGATGAAGACGATTCTAAGTAGTTCCTTTGGTTTTAAGTTGTTTTGGTGGAATTAATGTAAATTTAGTTGAGAGGGTGTATTTTCGTGTGACATTCGCTTGTCTGTGACATTCGCTTATCAACCACGTTAACCAAAGCTATTATTATTCTAGACAGGAGTAGAGAATAGACAAATATCACGGGAGCTGTCGTCAACAGGCCAGGCGCAAGGCTCTGATAGGAAACTGACTGTATTGCAAGAATACTGAACTTGCAGGAGGAAAGGAATCCTCGAAGACTGCAAGGTGCGAAGAAGTCTAAATACAGGATGTAGGGCATGTGCCCAGATGTGGAAGGTGGGGCACCAACCAGCTTGACCAATCATGCATGCATGCACCGGAAGCCGGGCACATGACTAAGCAATGGCCTATGCCATGGTACGGTGGGTTCCACCGTCACAACAAACTAAAACCTTCTCCTCCGAGCAGAGACAGCCACAAACGTATCCTCCTCAACCGGGCCTGGTACTATGGGCTCAAACTGCGCCGAGGGCTCTGTTGTCTGGCTGCTCTCCCGCTCCTCTAGGTGCGAGATAGCCTCCGCCGACCTTTTGCTGCTTGCAAAGCCCGTGGGGTTCAGCTCGACGCCGGTCATAATGAACCGCGCAGAGCCACCAACGGGAGTGCGACAGGAGATCACAGCGGTCAAGTCGACGTATAGGTTTGCCTTCTCCTTTGTGACGCCTGGCTCGCCCTCCTTCACGTTGCCGACCTTCCAGGGCCCGAATGTCATGTACGTTGGATTGCTCGCGCCGATGTAGTACCACGGCGACGACCGGAAGCTGTCGCTGACGTCGGGCCCGCTGGGCTTTCCCGTCAGCCAGCGCACCTGGCAGTCGGCGTTGCTTGTGACGGCGCCGCCATTGACCTGGTTGACGTAGCCCATGTTGAACTTGAGCTCGTAGTCGAAGCCCGGGCACATCTTGGCTTTCGGCTGGGTCAGCATGACGTTGAATCCGCCGTCTCGGATGTTGGTCATGGTGACCGAGATGGCGCTGACGGGGGGCTCGCCGGCCTTCCAGGTGTACGAGCTAGCGCCAAAGTTCACGTCGGAGCCCAGTGTGGTGCCCGAGAAGGTGCCGGCGGTCCAGTTGACAAACCACGGGGCGATGATGTCGAAGTCGCCGTTGGTGACGGCCTGGTCCGGGGCGCACTCGTCGGGGCTGGGCTTGTAGCACTGGCCGCCGATGCAGTACTTGGGATCGCAGACGTTGCCGCAAGCGCCGCAGTTGTTGGGATTATTGCGCAAGTCCAGACACGTGGTTCCGCACTGGTCCTGCGGGCATCCGCACGCGCCCTTCTTGCAGGCCGAGTTGGCGCCGCACTGGCCGCCGCAGGCACCGCAGTTGAGCATGTCGCTGCCGTGGAGGTCGGCGCAGTAGAAATTGTCCGATAGCTCGCCGGCGCTGTCGAGGTAGACGCACGTGTCGGGCGGGTTGGAGCAGAAGCAGCGGCACATGGCGGACTGGGCCTTGTTGTAGAGCCCCTGGCCCGTGGCGGACGACGCGAGCCCGACGAAGACAGTGGCCTGCGCCGCACACGCGCCGGCCTTGACCACGTCCCACCAGCTCTCGAAGTTGTCGGCGCACGTAAGGTACATGGCGTACGAGAAGATGGCGGTACAACCGGCGAAGCTGAAGCCCTCGCACTGGTCGAAGCAGAGACTCTGGACCTCGCAGGCCGTGTCGAAGTCGAACGGGCTGAGGCCCCACCACTCGTTTAGGTCCTCGCAGAAATTGCCCTCGCCCATCTTGTAGTCTTGCTTCGTCTTGGACACCAGCCCGGCCGGCGTGTTGGGGCACTGCGGCTCGTGGAAGTCGGTGTTGACTCGTGCCCGCAGCGCGCCCCGCGCCTTGAGCTTCTCGACAAGCTCGGCGGCACGCTTGCGGTCCGGAACCTGGATCTTGGGCACGCTGACGGGGAGCGTCTTCATGTTGTTCCTGGGCGTCGCCGCGGGGACGATGGAGCACGACTCGCCCTCGGTGCTCCACGTGTACTTGGTGCCGCCCTGGCTGATGAGGATGGTGCCCCGGCAGTCGAAGGCGAAGATGGAGGTGACGTGGTCGCCGCTAAACGAGGGTCCCGTGGACGCACCCACGAGAATGACCTCTCCGGCGGTGGTCATGGCGACGTATTGCCCGGTCTCGGCATACACCATGTCGTACACATCCGACACGCCGGCGACCTCTTTGAGATAGAAGCCGGGGACGGTGAATGTCAGCGGGTTGAGGATCGGGTCGTCAGGGGCGGGCGCCTCGGTGGGTTGCAGCAACGGCCCAATCGACCCGGTCCTGGTCACCATGGGGACGAAGTCTTCGTTCAGCAGCGTGAAAGGGTGGTCCTCTCCGGCCGAAAGCAGGCACGGCATGTCGGACGGCAGCGTCAAGCCGATCCCCGTGGTCACAGGCGGACGGCCGATGTCGACCATGGTGGGCAGTTGGTACTCAGTGTACGTGTACGTCTCGATGAACTCGTTGTCATCTGTCGGCTTCGATTGCGGGGCCGTCGGCGTGTAGGGCGGGCTGTCGCTCGAGACAACGGACGGAGGCGTGTACTCGGGGAACGAGGCCACCGGTCCGGCGCTGCTGGGCACCGAGTCGATGGGAGCGCTGCCGCCGGCTGGGGCGGCCAGGACGACCTTGGGTCCCTGGCGAGATGTGAGTTCAGAAATTCGAGAATCGGAGCAGGGTACTACTACTACTAGTAGTAAGTAGTCATGCAACACCCACCTCCACAACGGGTTCGGGACAGTCGGCATCGAAGAAAATGGTGGCGCCCGAGTTGGCGTCCTCGAAATCGAGGTACAGGAGGCTGTCATACAGGCTGCAGGTGCCTCCGGTCTTGATCTCGATCGAAAAGCTTTTGCAGAGGGGATCGGCGACACAGAGGCTGCGGCATGCCGCGAAGGTGTTGTCGGCCATCTTGGTGGACGAGCGCAGCGCAGGGCCGTTCCGCGAGCCCGTGGCTTGGCAGATCTGTCTGGGCTCGGCCGGAAGGGTGGGAGTGGGCGTGGTCTCGCTGGAGGGGGTGGTCTCGGTGCTCGTCTCGGTAGCGGTCTCGCTCACAGAGCTTTCGGTGGGAGCGGAATCCGTCGGACTGGTAGGAATCTCCACCTCCACAACGCTGCTCGTCGACGTGGCTGTCTCGGAAGTAGCAGTTTCCGAGACGGTGACCGTCTCGGACACGGTGCTGGACTCGACGGTGGAGCTGCTCTCCAGGCTGACGGCGCTGCTCGAGGTGGTCATCGACGACCTGGGCTTGCACTTGCTGGCCGAGCCAACGCTGACCGATGCGGTCAGCGCCAGGACGTGATAGAACCGCATGTTGGATGACCGGATACGACGTGTGTCATCGATATTTTCCTTTTGCATACCTCAGCAGGAAAGATGTGCCTTTTTATCCCCATTTCCCCTTCCTCCTTCCCCCGGCATACCTCGTCTCCTTTCTCTTCTTCGATAACTTCACCTCCGACCGTGCCATGGTCACCCATGCCGGCAACAAGCACCCCCGATCCTGAAAAGAGTCTCCGGTCCCGAGAATCTGGTTCAGCTGGCTGCTAGGAGCAGGTGGAGCGAATGAAAGACTCCATCGTGAATTTGCTGTTAATGCCAATAGTCAAAACGGTAGCAGCAAAGTTCCTGAAGCTAGGCTTTATGCGGCGCTGCGAACTGGTCCCTGAGACCCACAATGAGAACCTATTGGACTCGTGGAGCGCTGAGCGAGAAAAGTCCGGAACCGGGCCGAGCGTTCTAGGCCGTTCACTCCACACAGAAACACGTGGGAGCCCCATTGCGGACTCCCACAGTCTCCGACTAGTAGGTGCGATAGTGTGCTCCTGACTCGGGCCTACTGCCAACAACACAAAACGTGATCCTGTCTGCAGCAATTGGTCAGACCGATTGCGGTCCCCCTTATTACAGACGAACCTTTTCCGACACTGCGGAGATAGCGCTAGTGTGCAAATCTTTCCTGGGCTCCGGTCGAGAATGAGATCTTGATTCGTCGCTTTACTATGTCTGCTCCCGTTATGGCGATAACCTCGCGATTAACAGAGCAGGCCTTCCCCTACCTAAGCTATACTCTCTCGCTTCGCCGTGGTGGACATGTCAGCTGCGTATCCCGGACTGCTCCCCATGATTTTGGACTCGTGGGGAGGGTCTCGTCCCAGACAGGGCTTCCAACTCCTCGGTCTGGTCCAAGTCACCACCTGCTCGGAGGGAAACAGTTGATTCTCACGGCTACAGATCAGTCAGCCACACGGCCGGGACCGAACTGCGCTGACGGGTCCGGGCCCTACGGCCACGAAGCAAGCACGAGGATCCTTGCGTCCATCCGAGGGAGAGTTCTCGTCTGCTTCTCACATACCCGCTGAGACCATTCTCGCCTGTGATGCAGTCCATCGACAAGATGGATGTCGTGCAGGCCGACCAGTTAGGCGGTTGCGCTGGGATGCTTATATGGATCTTGTTGGTCTTCTTTAAAAAACGATAAGGTGAGCTCTCTGCGAGCTGATGGCTATTGTCTCAGCATTTGCGAAGATAAGTATAATGGCCGCTGGATTGAGTGAGAGGATGACATCACGAACCGGAAGGATGTTAGGAGGGTACCAAAAGTCAGCTTGGGAAGCAGGGGAAGCTGAGCGTATAACGGTTCATTGTAAGGTATGGTAACAGGACTGTACCGATCGTGGCGGGGGCGAGGAGCCAAAACAGCTGAGCGAGGATGACGAGAAGAAAGGCGGCAAAGCGGTCCGACCTTCCGGATGGTGTCTCTGATTACGTTACGAGGCAGAGAAAGCAGCGTAATAGTGATCAAGAGGGTGAAGAAGGCGATGTGCAAAGCGAAGCCAGGGAACTGGCTTATATGTGGGAGGGTCTGGAAGCTATACTGAATATAAAGACTACAAAGGTCTTGATAGTTCCACAGATTACGAGCACGCAGACGCTTGTTGGCACGCTAGGCATTGAGTTACGTGTGACGCTCGCAACCTTAAGCCTGCTCAGCTGCTAAGGCCTAAGGATGCGCCGCTGCCAGCACTTTGTTCCCTACCAACGGCGGTTTGAGGTCTCTTACCCGGTCCTTTCTTTCACCTTGTCAAAGCTGGAGCAGCAATCTTGTTCTTCATCAAGACGGTGCGGGTTAGCACTGTTCCATTTATCTATGACGAAGTGATGATGAGCATATTTCGCAGGTACTATGTGAGCAAGCACAGACCTCGCCACCTACCCGTGCGTTTGCACTTTGCAATGCAGACTCTGACTTTCCCACACGGCTTGGACCGAGTTAGGGACTATTGACAAGCTTTTAATCAAGGATGGAAAGTCGGTTTTCTCTCCCTAATCTATGTCTCAAACAACCAACCCCATCCGATCCTACTGACCATAACGTGAGCATAGTAGACTCGTAGAATCGCAAGTCATGATGGACCATCTAGATCTTGTCGACAAGCAAACGCTGCGAGTCATCATCCAGCTGCAGTTTGAGGAGGTGCAGACGATTCGCGACAGAGCGCTGGCTCTACAATTGAGCGGCCAGCCACGGTAAGACCTCCAAACAATTTTCCGCTGGTCATGCTTCATTGCCGAAGCCCAAACACTTTTTGGTTGGGATGTGATAGTTCCGATGCTCACCGATGCACAAGTGGTCCACAGGATTCGTCAGCCCCTTCTTCGCCTAGCCAGGCCGAGTCGTCGTCGTAGGCACAGAGCAGACGCCGGCCGATGCGGACCGCGCAATGTACCGCATGTACCGAGTGGTGTTCCCCGGACGACCTTGCCATCGCCTCCTGCGGACACGAGTACTGCCGCGACTGCCTGCGCGCCCTCTTCCGGGCCTCTCTGGCTGACGAGACGCTGTTCCCCCCGAAGTGCTGCAAGCAGCTGTTCGATCTCGAGAGTTGCCATGCTCTCCTCACGAGCGACCTTGTCACGCAGTACGGAGAGAAAGAGGTCGAATTTCGCACGCCTGCGGTCCAGCGGACCTACTGCCACGCATGCTCTGCGTTTGTGCCGCGGCAGCGTGTCGAGGCTGATGTCGCGTACTGCGGTCGGCCCGGCTGCCATGCGCAGACATGCACCTTCTGCAAGGCCGCTTCACATGAGGGTTCACACTGTCCGCAAGATCCGGCCAGGCAGGAGCTGGAGCGGCTGGCCGCAGCGGAGGGATGGCAGCACTGCTATGGATGCAATCGAATCGTCGAGTTGGACACCGGCTGCTATCATATAAGTAAGTGGGACTTTTTTCTTTCTTTTTCTTTTTTCTCTTTTCTTTTGTTCCTCTCCTCCCCTTCCTTTCCCCAGTCATGGGACTGGGAATTTCAGTTGAGATATGCTAACGCCGGTTTCTTCTTTGCCTCCCACCACTTAGCCTGCCGTTGTGGCGCAGACTTCTGCTACCTCTGCGGCGAGGCTTGGATTGAGTGCACATGCCCTCAGCGGGACGAGGCGCGGCTGTTCCGTCGCGCCGAGGCAAATGTAGACCGCAACGTCGGCGCTGCTCCCATGGGCCATCGAGAGTGGGCGGCGGCCCTGGTCGAGTGGCAACGCTTAGGGTTAGCCCGCCTGTGGGGGAACCACGAGTGCGACCACACGGCTTGGATTCGCCGGTGGGGTGCACACACAGGTATGACCAGCTGCTGGCGGGGCATTCTACGTCGCCGAGACTGGACCCAAGACTACAGTACTATATTGCATTACTATCGGGTCATGAGGGGCATTGGGTGTGTTGGCTTCCTGGTCTAGTTCGCCTGGTCCTTTTCTATCGTCTGATTTCTATTAGTAGACAGTTCTGCCGGCCGCCTGTATATTGGTTCCATGTTTTAAAGTTCGCTGCTGTTTAATGTACTTGGCTATTCCATGGCTCACTGCTATGGCTACAGCTCTACAAATCGGAGTTCTCTCTCTAAAGTTCCTCCATTCTGCCGTCATGCCATAAGGAAGCCGCACGCAAAAAGAGGCCGCGGATCAATTGGAGCTTCAGTTCACCCACCCGTCGTAAACTTGATCCTTCGAGGGACGAGCAGGGAGGATACTACGGCTATACATGTCCTGATTTACCCTGTGTATGGTTTCCCCATTACTAGTGAAGGACATCGTGAGGGACATGGGCGAGGATAGCACTCATAAGAGTACTGGTAGGTATGATGCTGGTGTAGGATGCAAGGATGGTTGAGCGCGCGTATTAGAACTTGTCATCTGTCTACTGTCTATCGCCCTTTTTTTCAAGTTGTGCAATGCCCTGTATTTTCCCAAGACTTCTAAGCCTCAAGCCCCGCTCGAGGTTGTACAATACCGGCGCCTAACGCCAACCCGTGGCCGGCCAGCTTCTAGCGACATCCAGCACCGTTTATCTTCTCCTGTTCTCACGCCATCTTACAGCTTGAACATGATGTAGGAGCGATCCATTGTCGGGCGTGACGATCCAGACGTCATTTAGTGACGCGCATACACCTCCCAACTCTTGAAGGCGCCAACGTTGAACTTGATCCTGCTACCCGCGTCGAAGTTGGCGGACGAGACACTGCCTTTGCCATTCGGCTCCGAGTAGCACTGGACAAGGGTCTTGTAGGGGCAGGGAGATGTGAAGGCAACCTCATTCGGGTTGCCGCGAATATTCTCGAGCGAGCCAAACGAGTACTGGAAGGCAACGCAGCGGCCACTTTCGTAGGCGTTCACGCGCCAACTGGCGGCGTTTGGAACACTTGTGTTAACATTGCACTATTCATATCACAGGTCCCGGAATATTCTCCGCTCGGAGCCACTTACGGAGGAGGAGCAGCGGCAGGCATCTTGATATGGATGGAAACGGGGTGTAGGGTTGGAACTGGTGATACGACTGCGACGGCCGAAAAACGAAGTGGATGCTTGGCTGAGTAGCGGGAGTTGATTAATGTGACGATCCAAGAGTGGGGGTGGACGATGAGAGAGGGTTCAGCTCTCTATATAAGTCCGTACACCCACCAATGGATCAGGCCACCAATGGATCAATTTTCCCCATCTGCCCCCCCTTTTCTGTGTCTACAGGAGTGTCAAAGATCGACCATTCCAGGCACATATCTTCAAATACATATCCATCCACCTCTTCTGAGGGTTCCAGCTGCCTTGCAAGTGTCTTTTTGATCTGCATTATCTGTTCAATTTGCGCAAATCGGGTGTTGGGGTCCATCCTAACTTTCTTCCTTTTCCTAGGCATCAATCTATCTACCTCGGCTTCTAATGCTTGAATCCTCTGTTGCTGACTAGCAAGCTGAATAGCTGTTTGATCAAGGCTTTTGCCAACCTTTGTAAAGAGTGTTCTGGCTACTGGGTCTGTTGCCTTAAGCCTCTTTAGACGGTAGTTAGATGCAACTAGTTTGTGGACCTCCTGACTACGGCTTGGAGTCTTGACCGCCCGGCTGTTCGGCTTGCTGTTCGGCTGGCTGTTTGGCTGGCTGTTTGGCTGTTTGTCTAGCTGGTTAGCCTCCTGGTTGCTTGGCTGGGCTGGCAACAGTAGACGGCTCATCAAAGGCTTGCTCAAGTTGACAGGCCACAACCCTGATGACTTCCAGCCACTACGGACATTCCTTTCCGTAATAGCACCTGCCCTGGCCTTCGAATAACAACGAAGAAAGAGTCTCTTGCCAACGGGGGCACTGTCAGTCATCAGAGCCAAGTCGCTGATGCCACGGCGGTACGCAGCCTTCAGGGGAGAGAAGACAGAGAGGTCGAGAGGCTGGAGGAGGTGGGAGGCGTATGGTGGTAAGAAAAGGAGGTGGATATTGTTGGAATAACATGTCCACATGAAGTCGTCGGTCTCGTGGCTCCCGTGGCCATCAACAACAAGGAGCTTTGTCTTTGTTGTTGGTGTTGATGGGCAGAAGATCTTCGTTAACCACTCGAGGGCAATATCGTTAGACGTCCAGCCGTTTTGGCTCGTCGAGAACCGCCAGTTGCGTAACGGATCAAGGTCTTCGTCGTCGTCTGGGAACCATTGATGTTGGATGTCTTTCCCTTTGAAGATAACTAACGGGGGAAGAGCTGCCCCTGCTGCTGAGATACACTCAACGATCGTTGTCTACACCCGAGATTCAGGGTGTTTCGACAGTGCTTCCTTCGTCGCCGATGAACCAACGCATAAGCCGTTGATCCCCATGCCCTCCATTATCCCTGTTTCGTGCATGTTCCAACAGTCTTGCGGGAGGATGGTCTTAATGACCGGGATCGCGAGGAGTCGGAACCAAGCCCTGATAACATCAATAGAAGCTCCAGTCAACCGCTTGATATCCATACGCCTATCTTTCTTTGTCTTCAAGACCGGGTATCTCTTGATGAACTTCTGGAGCCAGTGCTTCCCGACAGTCTGGTCAGATCCAGAGGCACGAAGGATACGGTTGGCGAAGACCTGGATTTGTCGATGTTTTACTGGGAGCCCCAGCGCTTCCTGAGCTAACACCCAGTCGGCTAAGTGTTTTTCTTGATCAGGGCTAAGCTTCTGCATCACCTGGGCCTCGTACTGGCCCTTTGGTTGGGTGTTGAGGACGAGCCGGTTGCGGAGGGTAGAAAAGGGGACCCCCCACATCTGGCTAGCCTTACGGATAGATTGGCCAGCCCGGACGGCCTGTATCGCCAGTTGAATGATTTCTTCGGAAACCATGGTGACTGACGAACTGAACGAGGGTAACAGTGCTCAATTTGAGCTTGTTTTGGTAGAACTGTGGTGGTTGGGAACAGATGGGTGCCGAATCAGGGGGTGGTAAAAAATTGATCCATTGGTGGCCTGATCCATTGGTGGCCTGATCCATTGGTGGGTGCACGGACTTATACTGCAGGAAGTTCAGTTCGCCAAGGCCCGGGTTGCATCATTATTCTTCATGTGTGCTTCAAAGCTGTGCCAACATGACCGAGTACCATCCGTCAGCAGGCCATCCTTTGTTGCAGCCTATTGCGAAAACTGAAATGGCAACCGGATCAGGCCTGGGTCCCTGACGATTCCTCTAATCCACTGAAGCGAAGCAAAGGTGCTATGCTTAGTGAATACATGGGGGAAGTGAATGCGATGGGCGGAGGGGTCACTGACGGCTGATGCTTAAACTCGTTTCAAGAGTCCCAAGCCCGTATGTCAGAGCCGGGATGCAGTCCTCGACTGAAGGCGTTGAAGAAATAAGATCAAGACCGAGGTCGGTACCGCTCGGAGGTGAACCCGCAGCTCGGTGGATAATAAGCCGACTACTTGGAAGTGGAGCTCGGAGGAAGGCTTGGGATTGCCCATCATCTTGTCATGGCCAACGGAAGAATACCTTAATGACTAGTAATAAAGGTAACGTCCTACGACCAAGCGGTTGTTGTCAGCCAGAGTAACGAACTTTAGTCGTAAACCCCAGATTACAAAATGGCGCTAGTACCGTAGTTACCGTACGCTTTGGAAACTAGGTACCTCCACTTGCAGGGATGGCAGCCAATAGACAAGGGGCTCGCAGATCGTCTCGGCAGCTTTGCCGGTACACTAAGGCGGAGGACTCCACCAACAAACGCGCCGTGCTGGTGCCTGGGGATATATACGGCAACCTGGTGGTATATACCTCCCATGTACATACTGTACTGGTGGTTCTTGAAAGTTGTCTTATTAACGCGGGATTTGTAACAGGGGACTCGACCCAACCACCCATCACAAGTTCGCAACACTGCCTAGGTAATTACCAGGTTTAGGGTTACGACGTCGGAAAAGGGGACATGTCGAAACTTGAATGATCGAAGAACTTGAGTTCATTAATAGCCTTATTCTGGTAGACAATCTAGCCGTTGTGATGTTAAGATCGAAGATTGAGGGCTAATCTTGGGGCAATATTCTACTTGCTATATAAATATACGAATCGGATGAAAAGACGTGGTCTCGATCTGGTGCTAAGATCCGGCAGATCCTATATGTCGGACGGGCAATCGGTTCGGTGGGTTTCCAAATTCCCTTCCTTCCTAGCCAGAGGATCTCAACTCCCGAGCAAGGATCTGTGGTTTTTCTATCTCCCGCGGGTCGCTGCGCCACCTGACATGAACCGATTCTATCGGGCAACTGCTCAATGGGGCGCGACAAGGTTGACCGCCCAAGTCGAGCGGATTAAGCACCCCAAAAGCGGCCAACCACCACGTTCTCATTGTCGTTTTTTATTCTCCGACAGATCCCGTTGACGCCATCAACATTTTGGCCAGGGTTACCCATAACCCTGCATGGCATGTCCAAACCAACGAACAATGTTCGGAATCGGCTCAGACATCTTTTTCCGCCGCAAGTTCGCATGGCCCGGTTCAAAGCGTTTTGGAATCCACTTACTCCGGAGCTTTCTCATTGCTGGCTCCCGCCGTATCGGTAGCAGAGGACGGGTCTCGATCGGGGTCAGTGAGTCCGAGTCATTATAACTCAACGTGATTCTCAGCGTCCTGGCGGCGGCGGCGGGCTGCCTCTTGTTACTAGTGACATACTTAGTGCCAAAGGAGAGAGAGGGCTGCCATGCCAACCTTTTCCATCCATCATACTAGTACCTCCTACCGCGACGCGATGTCATGTTGGTGCGGAGGGCTTAACCTGTTGTTCTGAAGTGCGAGAAAAGGGCAGAATGGAGTCTGGCTTTGACAAGACTTCCAGGTTTATTAAACTCTGCAACTCTATATTCTAAGGTACCTTACTTACTTTGTAAGGATTGCCGATGCAAAGAGGAGGGCATCGCTAAACCATCACCTATCCATCATCCTCGCCGAAACCCGCGCTCCATCAGTCAAACACGTCGGACGCATAGCGCTCGTTTCTCACGTGGTCAAACCACTGCGCAACCTCGGCATTGGTCGCGGCCTCCCCGAGTAGGATCCTCCCGACGACCTTCTTCACCCCGTCGCCCACGGCCCGCGAGCCGCACACATACAAGCGGGCGCCGGCGTCCCACAGCCGCTTGACGTCGTCCCTGTCGAGCCACAGCCGGTCCTGCACGTGCTTGCAGCCCTTGGCCTCGTCCTCCACATTGTTGTTGTTGTTGTTGTTGTTGTTGTTGTTGTTGTTGTCCGAGTCCTTTTCCGCAGCACGACGACGGCTATAGGCGCGGCGCACGTCGACCAGGCCGTCGCGCTGCCAGGCGTCGAATTCCTCGCGGTAGAGGTCATCCAGCTGCGGGCCGCGGCAGCCGAAGAAGAGCAGTGCCGGAGCGAGCTTGCTGTTCAAGTTTTCGCCATCGCCTTTGGTACTATCATCAGTATCATTATTCTCGGCCATGGTGGCGCGTTCCTGCACAAAGCCGCGGAAAGGGGCCAGCCCGGCGCCGGCGGCGACCATGATGATTGGGACATGGGCCTCGCTCTTGCCGGGCAGGCGGAAGCCGGTGTGGGTGGCGCGCACGGAGAGGTGCAACTTGTCGCCCGGCTGGAGCGAGGCGAGGTAGGACGTGGCGACGCCGACGTGGCGGAGGGACGGGTTGGCCAGCGAGGCGGAGTCGAGCAGGCTGTAGGTCAGGGTCGCGCGGCTGGGGCCGTGGGACGGGAAATTGGGGGAGGACGAGATGGAGTACTGCCGCGGGCGCATCGAGGGCAGCAGCGAGAGGAAGGTGCCGAAGGAGAGCGACACGGTGGGGAAACGCTCGAGTAGGTCGAGCAGGGAGGTGCGTTTGAGGCTGATCTCGGCTGCGTACGCGTCGCCGGCGAGGGCTTGGAGCTGCTGCTTGGTGGCCTCGTCGTGGGCGGCGTCGGCCAGTCGGAGGATTCCCTGTGGAGGAGAGGATATCAGTGTAAGTGAGTGTGTGTCTACTAGCTACTACTAGGGATCGGCCGAGGATGAACAAAACAGACAACAGACATACCCTCTTTGTGGCCGGCTGTGACAGCTCGACGTAGCACCCGAGCACGTCGTACACGGGAACCGGGGTCCCCGTGGGCAGCGCGGTCCAGCGGTCGGAGCCGATGGTGACGTGCGAGTCCCACGAGAGCTGGAAGCGCCGCATCACCCGGTTGACGCTCTCCTTGGGGTTGATGGGCAGCACGGCGATATAGTCGCCGACCTTGTAGCTCATGCCGTCCGGCAGCTGCACCTCGATGTGCTTCTTGGGCGGGACGCCGGGCGACGTGAGGGTCCTCTCGGCGACGACGGTGGCCTCGCGCACGTCCTGGCGGAGAGTCGAGGAGCGCGGCGTGGAGAAGCGGACCTCGAGGCTGGAGTCCCGGTCGCCCTGGTCGTCCCCGTTGGCGGCAGCAGCACCGGCCGCCGATCCGTACTTGGCTCCGATGGCTGGCCAGAACACGTCGTCCTCCCACTGCTCGAAATCGGTAAACATGTCGCCCTCGGCCACGTCCGTCAGGCCCGTCGCGCAAAGGCGCGTGCCTCCCCGCGCTTCCATCGCCTCGTCGACGAGCTTCGGGATCCGGTGGAAGGTGTGGCTCCAGTCGTGGTGTCCGCAGCCGAAGACGGCGTACGAGACGTTCTGCAGCTCCTCGGCCTTGCACCGCTGCAGCCAGTCCCAGAATGACACGGCGTTGTCGGGCGGCTGGCCCTCGTACGACGCCGTGATGACGACCACGGGCCGGTCCGTGGGCAGCTTCTCGGTGGCCGCGTCCATCGGCTCGATCACGGTGGCGGCGAAGCCGTGCGACGCGGCGTCGGTGGCCAGCCGGTGGGCCAGGCTCTCGCACGTGCCCGTGTTGGACCCGTAGAAAACGCTCAGCGGCTTCAGGTCGGCTCGCGCTCGCGCCTTTGCCGTCCCGGGAGACGGCTGGCGCGATGACGGCTTGGAATGTAGCGTCAGCGGCTGCAGCGTCGAGGCGAAGCCCCCGTTCAGGCGATGCTCCAGCTCCGTGGCCGTCTGGCCGTGCCGGAGCGAGGCCCGCATGTAGAAGTCCTTGGGCTTGGTCGTGAGCGTCTGCTTGATCTGCAGCTCGTAGCCCGGGTCGTGCATGGCAAAGTCAAAGTTCTGCAGCAGCATGGCCATGACGAGCACCGCCTCCTGCCACGCGAAGGGGCGCCCGATGCACGCCCGCATGCCGCTGCCAAACGGCTTCCAGCAGTCCGGGTACTCCCTCATCAGCCGCTCGAAGTTCTCGTCCAGCATGCGCTCCGGCACGAACGCCCGGGCTGTCTCGCCGTACACGACCGGGTCCAGGTGCGACTGGGCGAAGAGCAGCAGGCAGGTCTGGTCCTTGGGGATCATGTATTTGCCTCCGATGACCTCGTCCTCCCGGGCCTGCTTCCCGATGAGCGGGATCGTGGGACACAGCCGCAGTGTCTCGCGGAGGACGGCTTCGATGTACGGCAGCTTCTTGAGGTGCTGCGGCCGGATGGGGCCCTGCCCGACCACGCTGTCCACCTCGTCCTGCGCTCTGCGGTAGGCGTCCGGGTGCTTCAGCAGCTGGTAGAAGGCGAAGCTCAGCAGGCCCGACGTGGTCTCGTGGCCGGCGATGAGGAAGGTGATCAGGTTGTCGATGATGGAGCCATCGCTCAGTTTCTGGCCCGTCTTGGGGTCCGCGCCGTCCAGCATGGCCGACAGCAGGTCCTTGCGGCGGGACGGGTGCTTCCGGCGCGCGTCGAGCACGCCCTGGGCCGTCTGGCGCATCAGCTCGATGTCCTCCCAGTACTTGCGGTCGGCCTGGCGGTAAAGGAGCGCGGCGAGGCTCGGCCGCAGCGACCGCGAGCCCGACTCGGTCAGGAAGCTGCCCATGGCCGCGATGAACGGGTGCAGCTCGTCGTGGTAGTACGAGTTGAAGCGGAAGTCCATCGTGCACAGCGCCAGCGTGTCCAGCGTCAGCCGCGTGAAGTCGTCCGTGACCATGATGGCCGCGTCCGGCCCGTGCCGCGCCCACTTGAGCGCCAGCTGCGACGCGATCTCGTGCATCTCGTCGAACATGCCCTGGATCGACGCCGGGCCAAACGCCGGCATCAGGATCCGGTGCGCGATGCCCCAGTTCGGCTCGTCCTCGCGTGCCGTGAACAGCCCGTCGTGGACTCCATTCCGGACCTGGTTCAGCGCGCCCTTCACCGGCTTCCGGAATCGCTTCTCGTCGCAGATCTCGTGCACCAGCCTCTGCGAGCTCTGCTTCCTGTTAGTAGGTAGTTACCCCTCGTCGCAAGGGGGAGTGAAGGAAGTGGTAGTAGTAAGGGACAACTCACAACTACGACAAATTCGCCCGCAGGAAGGTTCACGCGAAAGATCTCTCCTGGTTGACAACTTGACGTTAGCTCTGCCCTTCCATCTTCTTGTCTCGATATCCGAGTGAACTTACCATACTCGTCGGCCCAGCCTTGCCACGTCCGCAGCGGCGTCTCCAGGTCCACCTCCAGCGCATTTCCCACCAGGGGGTAGCCCGGCGGTCCAGGTATTGGCGTTGTGTCAGATGTGTCTGTCATCTTGGGTCTCCGTGATGGCTTTTGTTGACAAGGTCAATCCCGACGACACCTTCGTCCTGAGTTCTAGAAGCCCTAGCTCGTGTCCCTTGCAGCAGGGCCGCGCCTTTAATATACGTCTAGTATGGTTCTCCACCCGTGCTCCGGCGACGCCGTTACATGTTCCACATCGTTGACACTAGGGCGAGCCGAGCCGAGGCACCGCGAACCGGGTTACGGGAACCGGAACGGCCGTCAACTTCGCGCCGGGAACTTCGCGCGCCGGAATTCGGAATTCACAACTTTTGCCGTGTCCTGATTGGCAGGGGGGTGCAGCCGGTGGAGCCTTTTTACGAACTCTTTTCTGTTTCACCACGCCACTGCCGGCCCCCCTTGTTGTCACGGTTTCGGGCTGCAACGGTAAAGCGTGGCATCACTGAGTTGAGTCTTGACGGAGAGGGCCGACTCGGTCGAGGGATGTAAACCTACACTCAGCATCCGCCCACCTGATCATCACCGTGAAATCTCGGCGTTTTCTGTAGGAAAGCCAGTTTAGATCAGCCACGGAACAGTACGGCGCCTCTAGATCCGAGCTCCGACAACAGGAATCAGCACTATTCAATGGACGATAACCCGTGCGCTCATATTCCCTTTTTAAGTTATTAAGCGACCGGCGCCTTCAACTTAGGTTCACAAGGAGGGCCCCGCCCTGCCTACCGACCGGCGACCTTTATTCCGGCGAATCTGTTTCACAGATAGTTATCTAGAGGAGCATTGCCAGTACAAAGTAGAAGACATATTCGAGACCGAGACCCGGGATAAGTTCCGCCCGGTCGGCGATAATATGTACTGCCAGGGGTGAACTGTCACCTCGGAGGTAGCTTCCGAGTAGCCAACCATGTCAAGGGGGCGAGGGGGGTAACTACCTAGACCACATGGTACTCCTTCAGGTACATCCGCGTGAGGAAGGTGTAGTAGTACTAGTCGGCTACGGCGGCCATGGTCGCCTCGCGTGAGTAGGTGATATCGTCAAGGTCCGCCATGCTGTCAGGTTTCCGTGGACTATGGCGCGGTGTAATGCTCAGGAGAGAAGACACTCGTGGGTCGCCGCGGGAAGCAAACCCAGGCCGTGTCTTAACGACTTCTACCAAGCACTCCAAGTTACCAACAGCAAGTGTCCCCACTATGTGCTCGGTATCAGATGCACGCAATGTTACCTTGCTATTAGGGCTGTGGCGCTGCTGTCCTGAGTGCCGGGCGGCTCAACGATCCCGCTGCATGCCAAGGGGCCGATCCGCGGGGCCTCCCGGCCCCTGCCCTGCCGGGTCGGAAGGGAGGGTACAGTACCTCAGCCACACGGCAATCCCAAATGTCCAAGTACTAGTAATTCCTTTCCTTCTCTATCCATCTTCCCACATAGTCCATCCTGCCCTTATAATTTATTCCTTGGTTGAACCCTCCGCGGCTTGGCGTTCCACAGTTTCATCGCTGTCTCCCGCAGACTTGTCGCCGATGGGGTGATCGCGGAGGTCTTTGGCTGGCATATGAAGTTTATGATCTTTCTACTCGCCATCACTAGTCGATCCTTCCTTGCCCTTTTCCCCGGGGGCAGCTCTTCTTCCTGTTTTGTCGTCTTGGCGTCGCTGGGCGTCAATGTTTCGCCGGCCTTATATGTGTCCGACGCCGAAGAAATGAGGGCCAGTTGGGTGCGTTTCGAGGCGGAGGTGGTGTGAACTCCCGACTAGGCTTTGGATTGGAAGGAGAAGGGGGATCTTCGGACGGATTTCTCTATTTTTGTCATCATTCCTGGTTTCGTGCTTCTCGGATGTCATGAATTGGTGTTGAGGGAGGTTTGGGTTTGGAAAAGTAGCCCTGAGTTTGGTAGGCACAGCTCTCTCGACATTAAGGCGATCCTCAGACCGAAATTTGAGCCCAGTAATAGCGCAAATTCCTCCTCGAAATGCCCAGAAGCTAGATTCGGTTGATTCACATCTACCTATTCGGTAACTTCCATATTTGGTAGTTATAACTTCAAGTGCCAGTATTCGTCATACATCAAGTTGTAATGCGTACTGGTTCCAATGTCAACACAGGGACGTGGAAAAGGGAACCTGAATTCTGCCTATGCAAACTGTAAGGAACAGATTTACGACGTCTGTGCGGGGACGTGGAAGGAATTCTCCCCTGTCTCATTCGCTGCAGCCCGCCGGGCATACCTGCTGGAGAGCGCAGCGCTGTACGGAGTAGGATGTGGTAGGAATGCCCTGCCACGGCACTGCCGAGTTAATTCAAGACCACTTTAGGATGATCACGCAGTGCTGCGGAATGCAGTCGTAATACACACCGCAATCTCAATTCATCCCATTTCCGACCGACTGTAGGATTGTTAAGGCGGTCAGAGTCCTAAATCGAGTCTAGCATACCAACGCTGATTCGCCTGTGGGACTCGACTTGCCTAGAGGATCTGGCAAATGTGCTGGTGTGACGACGCCGGACAGAATCGAATGCTATAAGACTCGATTGGAGGCCGACTTTTTATTTTCTTCTTTTGCTCCGAGCACAACTCTCTTTTCTGCTTTTCCCATCACCGGCGCCATGGTCATATCCTACAGAGACCTTTTCCTCCTCGGCCTGTCCGTGCTAGTCGCAAATGGTGCAACCACTGCACGCGAGCCCGAATGGGAGCAGCATCACGTCAGGTCGGTCCTTGACCCTGGCGTCTCGCTCTCCTTCAAGCAGGCGAGTATCCCCAAATGCTGCAGTTGCTGCTGTGCAACGTGTGGAAGGCTAACCCTCCTCAAAGACGCGCATTTGCGAAAACACGCCGGGCGTCAAGGCATACAGCGGATACGTGAACCTTCCAGGCAGCACCACCGAAGGTCGGCTGTACGACATCCATATATTCTTCTGGTTTTTTGAGGCCCGGAAAGACCCGTACAAGGTTCCCCTGTCTCTCTGGCTTTAGGGCGGCCCCGATGCCCCCTCGATCCCGTCTGCCATAGGCAAGAATGGCCCCTGTTTGGTTACGCACGACTCTAAGAACACGGTCTGGAACCCATGGTCGTAGAACAACGAGGTTAACATGCTCTATATCGACCAGCCCGTCTAGACCGGCTTTTCCTATGACAGGCTAATCAATGGCACCATCGATGAGACGCTCCTGCCGTACGAAGTAACGCCGCTGCCTCTATCGTCCCCGGTTCCCGAGCTTAACCCGACCTTTCTCCTTGGCACTTTTGCCTTATAGGATCCCTTGTCCACAGCAAACACTACAGCTATAGCCGCTCTTGCCGTATGCCACTTTATGCAGATCTAGATGCAGGGGTGGGTGATTTATACTCAGCTGTCAGTGAAAATCACGCTGACCCGTCACTTGCAGGTTCCCAAAGTACAAGCCGAGGGACAATAAGTTCAGCATCTGGACCGAGTCATATGGCGGGTACTACGGCCCAGCCTTCGCCGACTTCTTTACCGTACAAACCCAGAAGATTGCCGATAGCCGCATTACTAGCGGTGCCGTCCCCCTCCAGGTCGATACTATGGGCATTATCAACGGCTGCGTCGACATCTTTACCCAGATGCCTTCGTATCCGCGCATGGTATATAACAACACATATGGAGTGCGGGTGACCAATGAGACAGAGTACGACACTGCCCCGGCCATGTTCCCCGCATGCCGTGAGAGCGTCGAGAGCTGCCGGGCTCACGCAGCCGAGCGGGACCCCACCGGATTGGGCAACGTCGAGGAGGTCAACAAGGCCTGCAACGAAGCATACCTCCTCTGCTTTGCTACGATGTGGGGTGGGGTGCAAGATAGGGGGGTACGTTTTACTGTGACTGTCTTTTCTCGAGTCACGCTCTTGTTGATGGCTGACCACCCTCTTGTTCGTGACCACAGAGAGACATCTTCGACATCACGGCCACGTACCCGTCGGCCTTCCCGCCCAAGTATGCCGGGGGTTATCTCAACTCGAGGGAAGCCCAGCAGGAGGTCAAGGTCGGTCTGGTGTACCGAGATCGTGACTGTCAGTGCAACTGTAAGTCGCGCGTCGAGGTTCTGCTTAAGGAATCTTGACTGATTTCTCGATCCGGAACAGGGTATGGAGGCGAACAAGTCAGCCTGGCTATCCAGTCCAAGACTCGTCAGGGTTTCCACGCCGCCGGCTATGCCGACATCCAGACGAACAAGACATACACCGGTGGCCTCGTTCGACAGTACGGTAACCTCTCCTTCTCCCGCGTCTTCGGAGCCGGACATGAAAGTAAGTTCAGCACTGCTCCACCTTACCGGATGCAGCTCTTTTGGCTGATCCTCTGTCTAGCCCCATGGTACCAGCCCGAGACGGCATACCAGATCTTTCGAAGAGTCATGTTCAACAAGGATGTCGCAACTGGAGGAATCTCGACTGCTAAGTGTCGAGGAAAGGTCTACTCCACCACTGGTCCGGGCGATGTCTCCGGCATCCTGAACGAACTGCCGTCCCACCCTGAGCCGGAATGCTACTTGTGGGACATCTTCCAGACTTGTACCCCTTTGCAGACGGAGATGTTGCGGAATGGCACGGCGGTTTTGAAGGACTTCATCATGATCGGGTACACATTGCCGAACGGGGCGGTTCATTATTACTAAACGGACTCGGAAAAGGCGAGGGGGTTTAGAGGATGGAACGATGGCCCGGAGATGATATCAGAAAAGTTGAGGGCCTGGTCCAAAGTGTCTTGCTTCGGTACACCGGTGTGTGGTCGACATACACTAGAGCTCGGTTGACGGGTCCGTATTAACCTCGGTATCTCCACCGTCGACGCTAGCACCCCGCACGCTGACCCGGCTACAGGGTAATAAGGTACTACTAGTAGTGTATCTTTGGATGTGGAACACCAAAACGGGCGCTCCCGTCCCCTGAGCACTGTCCCGCCGTCTCAACGAGACATCTGTTTCAGCATTAATTCATCAAACATCTCGTCAGTCCTCACTCTCGACAAGCATTCCAGTTCACACGTCCTCCTGCGGTCCTGACATCGACTCCCAAGCGCTAGCTGCCACCCAAGGGGCCAAGATGGTTGTTTGTCACCTCCACATCGTTTCCTTGAAGCCAGGCGTCTCAGTCGCCAGTTTCCTCCACAATCTCCGGCAGAACGGAGCCAAGCCTGTGTTCCAAGCCCGTGTCCTGCGATGGATGATTCTGCCAAGGAAAATGTCAACCGGCCATCTGCTCGGACGCAACATCCATTGGGACGTGCTGCTCGGGCTGGAGGGTGACGGTTCCATTCCAGCATCGTCACAAGCCGACATCGCCGCCATCTGGACCGCGTCATCCGGAGTGAGCGCCCGTGCTCTGTCCGGCTACGGCGAGCTCAACGCGACGCTGCTGAACCCACTCCGCGGCTCCGTCCAGCCTGCCGAGCTGCCCGACCATTCTAGTAGTACGAGCGATTCCTCCGAGAACCTGGAGCTTTCCCCGGAATGGGTGCAGTGGATCGAGGCGCTACCGTGGTCGGTGCGGGAGCATCCCGTGTCGATGCTGAACCTTCTCGCTTTTCATCCGTGCAAGAAGGACCAGTACAAACAGTACGGTGCTGAATTCTCAAAGCGTGCGGGGTCACGCCACGGAGGCCATGTCAAGCTTGTCGGGCGGGTGCTGGGCAGCCAAGCGGGGGCCGATGGCTGGGAAGAAATCGCCTATGTGCACTACCCGAGTGTCAGGCATTTTGCTGCCATGGCGGGCAGCGAGGATTACCAGGCGGTCAATAAGCAGTACAGGCTTGGTGCGTTGAAGGATACGTTCATCCTGTGCTGCCAGGAGATCAACAGTGATGGGGAACTGGCCGGCGCTGCGGAGCCGGGAAAGAGCAAGCTGCAAGGGTCAGCGGTCAACATACGAAAGACAAATAAGATCATTGTACATACACTCATACACTGAAGTAGCAGCCCCGTAAACACCTTTTACTGTAAGGCCTTTGCTGGGGTCTCGACGGCCGCCACTAACCATACAGCGCCCGCTCCCTTGGTTTTGGTAAGATGGGACCGAAGCTCAGGAGGAAGAGCCCCTATGCTGAGAGTCCTAAGGAAGCGAAGTGAGGAGGGATCTTGGAGAGGCCCGAGTTAGAATCACAGAATTGATACCCCTTTGAAGTAGTGGCTGTTCGGTCGTTGCATGGAGTGACCAACTTCCCATCCCACGATGCCCGGCCCACAGAGGTGACGCGAGCTGCCATTTAACGACCCTGATGCGTCCCGAAAGGAAAGGCTCCAAGGGTCCTCTACCACTCCAGACCATAAGTTACATTCCGAAAGTCCATCCGAGTACGACGCGGTACACATCGGTGTACATCACAGCCAACGTACCCAGCAGGCCACGGCCCTCCACTCGCTCCTCGTTCTGTCGAGCAGCGTCTTGACTGTCGCAGTATTATTTGTATACTAACGCGACGGGAGCCGGCTTCTGGGCAAGCTCAACGGGATCATCCATTGTCCATGGGTGATCGAGGTCTAACGCATAAGATCAATTAGCATGGTTTTGAGAGGTACATAGTATAGGGACCCAAACTGAAGGACAACGTAGGACATACTATAGCTGATGCATAGCTCAATCAAGACAAGGAGACCGAAGATATCCCTTCCCCCGACTTCATGCGGCTTGGCCCCCGTCTCGTACAATTTAGTACACAACCCAAGAGCCCTGGCTGCGTACTCAGCATCGGCCTCCTCTTGGGAGAGGCCCAGGCCTCCTTCGGCTACCAATTTGGTCAGAACGTCGTAGAGTTGCTTGCGGTACTGTCGGTGCTCGTCGGACACGTCTTGCGTGCCCACAAGATAGACGTATTTGGTCTTTTGTCGGCTCATTTTTATCACCTCCCAATTTGTCGCTTGAAAATGTCAAGGAACGTTGTGGTTGTGGTTATGTTTGAGTCGGTATTTTGGGGTTTGCGACTTGCGTGATTCAAGAAGGCGTTTTAGTTACCAGCGAAAGGAAAATGAAGGCGGGGCAGCTGATTGCGAGAAGGATCTCTCAGCTTGGGGTCATGGAATTTGGAAAAGGAAAGTGAAAAACGCGAATCTGCGGAGGACCGCCGAAGCCTAAAAACACAACAAACGACGTGCCGGCAATGGCGTCTCTACTCAGCGTCGGACAGGGCCTCAGAGGCCGCCTGTCGACCTATTCAATCGTAAAGGAGCTCCACAAAGCAGCTGACCAAGGCGCGGTGTTCCTTGCAATGTGGGTGCTGTCCGGGCTGGAGTTCGAGTGCTGAAGAGACTACTAATTAGAAAGCTCCAGGAACCAGACCAGCGAGAAATGCATCGTCAGAAGCATCCGGGGCCACTGGCTTCTACAGAATGAAGCCGAAGTTCTCAAACGCTATCAGGACAAAACCCCGTTTCTTCGACCGCTCCTAGACCAGATTGTCGAGCCCTCAGACCCGCCTTCAATTGTCCTCAAGCACTTGGATACCGACCTCCTGACTGAGTCCAACCGAAAGAGGTTATCATGCCCCGAGATCAAGCAGGTCGCCAAATGTGTCCTTCAGGCTCTTCAGGAATCGCACAGGGACGGAGTGGTGCATACCGGTGCGTGTGTCCTCTGGTGAATGGTGATACCACCATTCCGGGTCATTGACCGCCAAGCAGAGTTCATGAACCTGACATTGGGATATAGATATCAAGCTAGACAACGTCTTTGTCAATTATGGGATAAGATAAGCGATTCAGCGAGATACAACTGGGCGACTGTGGCGGCGTGGTGTCCCAGGACTCCGAATTTGCGAAGGGCCACCTCATCGACGCAGGCTTTACTCGCAGTCCAGAGGCCGCGTTCCAAATACCTTGGGGGACAGCCACGGATATCTGGTCCTTTGGCAACGCGGTACGGCGGCATCCTGTCTGATTCGTGATCCAAGATCCTTCTAACATGTGTATCCAGATCCTCAGTCTCCTCTATGGCGGCAACGTAAGCATGCTCCGTAACTCGATGGCCACAGGACGTCTTGGAGATGGGTGCCAAAACTGACGTTGGTGACAGTACCACCTCTTCAACCCCGCCATCGACAAGGTCCGTCCTGAAGACGACTTGTACGAGCTGACTGTGCTCAAGCGCATGTACAAGTTCTTCGGTCCATTTCCGGAATCGTACAAGGACTTCAATGACGAAGAGACCATGATATTCGTGGACCACCTCAATAGCCAGGCCTCCCCCCCCCCCCCCCGAGAAGCCGTTTCATCTTGTGGCCAAGAGGGAAATTCCGCCGGCAGACAAGAGCTTCATCCTCAAGATCATGAAGCTGGACCCCCGCGATAGGCCCACGGCGCAGCAGCTTCTTCAGGATGAGTGGTTACCGAGGAGTCGGAAGATACCAGAGACATGCTTCCTGGGGAAAAGGTAGAAGCCTCCTGAGTACCTAAGCTGGGGCTCCTGGCTGTCAAGGACAATCCTAATGGCAGTGAGAATCTGAGTCAGGACAAGTCGTTTGCTACGAAGTGCGCTACCTCAGTGGGCGGAATGGACTGGTTGGCTGATTCTCTCTTGCTTGCCCGTGCATCGAGTCCTCGTATTATGCATGCCCCTGGGTAACCGAACTGTTGCCTGTACTGTGTCCTCTCTCCCCAGTGCCAACTGCGGCCAACGCTTGCCCTGCGTGTATGTATCTTCTATCCCTTATCCGGAAGCCCTTGCTCTTGTCTGGTTCGTCTTTGAACTCTTATTCGAATCCATCACCACTGGCGTACCTTAGGCAGATTTGCCTGCCTCGGTCTTTCGTAGTAGTAGTAGTCGTATTCATCTCGATCTTTAAGCCTTATGCTACTCTGTATATTGCTTGCGTCTGACTCTTGTTTCCCGTCCCTCGCTTCCGCCTCTTGCACACTTGTGTCTCTCAAACTTCCCCGGTATGTGACCGCCTGGGCGTTGTTGTGTCATCACTCTGTTGCCTGTATGTGTGCCTTGAACCTTCTCTTTAGACCTTGTTTCCTGTTTCTCTTCTCTGTATTCCAATGTTTATATCCCGTCTCTTGTTCATTGTGTCCTTGCCTGATCCTTGTTGGGTATCCTGAAACCTTCCCCTGACAGCGGGGCAAGTCGAGCCCTATGAGATGGCATTGGGTCAGTATGTGTCTTGAACCAGAAAATAAGTTAGAAAAGCAGTTTGACATTGTGGGTTGGGTAGAGGCTGTTGTGGTATGCCTCGCGATTTAGTATTGGGAAATTTCCGGGTCTGATGTGTTGTGTGGATAGATGTAGCTGAACTTTATCCCTTGTTCCCTTCCAGAACCGACTTCCTTGATCTTCAAGTTATTAGCGGCTACTGGCACTTGAATTGAAATTCCACTGAGAAATCCCGCGGAGGAGCCACAACCTGCCTTAGTCACCCAACAAACACAGAGGTTCAAAGCCGGACAGCAACCTCACCATGGTGACTGAGATCCCCGGCGTGCCCGACCACGTTCTCGCACAGTGGAAACGTCAACTCAGCCGGGTCCCGCTCCCGATAGAGGAGTCGGTGACCATTTACGCAAATCCAGTGCAACCGCTCGGCGGTTTGGATGACGGCTCTGGTCCTGAGGGAGCTGCACCGTCGGCTCTAAGAAATCGGCGACGGCGTAGAGGGGCATCTCGTCTGGGTCGGGGTCGGAGATAAGCAGGTTAAGGTCGTCCAGGACTTCATGCAGAGCGACAAGCAGCCTGGGACCAGGATCCTGACCTTCAAAGAAATGATGGAGGCAGAGAATGTCGATACACCTAACTTTCTGACCAACGCCGTTGTGGTCATAGACAATGACTTCGGCCGGATCAACCACTGTCATCTCGGCCTCTTCACAGCACTGCAGCGGTTCTGGTGTCAACGGCGCGATAGGGGTGAAGGTCTCCATGCCGCAGTAGTCGCCGTCTCCTCCAACGAAGAGCAGCTGTGGTTTGACACAGCCATCAACCTCCTGTGGAAAAGGGAAATCTGCTACATCACGCTCGAGTCGGCGCCTGGCTACACTCTGCAGATGTATCGCAGGGATGCAGACACGCCTCTCTACCGCTGCATTGTTGACGCGGCCCTGCAGTCGATGCTCGAGGCTCACCTTGCTCAAACAGCGCGGCAGCGCATCGCAGGAGCCCGTCGTGGTCGTCTGTCTGTACCCGTTTATGCAGATGGACAAGCTGCAGCCTCATTGGAAGGCCGCCTGCGAGCGTCATCGGCTCGATGATCCGTCGTTTCGCTGTGATGCTCTGTGGATCTGGCGGTACAATATTCACGAATTGCCGGCCGTCTTGACTGAAGAGACACTCAGGGGTCCCCGCCATGCCGTTCTCTTTGTCGATGAGGCCCTGCGCTTCCTCCTTGCGATCCAGGGTCTCCGTCACTACGTGCTTCCCTACAAGTGGTTAGCAAGGCAGTTCGACACTAGCTTCCTGAAACCTACGTTGCAGGACTTTGGCTGCAGCGAGCTGTACGCCCACCTTGCGGCCGGGTTGGGCCAGATCGAGCAGCGGGACGACATTCGCGTCATTTACGGGACGGACCGCGACGCCCCGCCATGTGAGGACGAGGATGGCGTCGCCAGAATCCCGCACATCAATTACCAGCCTGTCTGGCCAGGTTAGAAGGAAGATCCGAATGCCACGATGCGTGATAGGATCAAACAATCGATCGACCAATTGCTGGGGACAGAAGCCACCGACGCGGCCACCCTTCGCCAAGTTCGCCCTGCTCCATCATACCACGATCCGATTCATTCGCCGGCGCAGGAGGTATCCACGTCCATCGCTCAACAGGGAAGTACATCTCACGATGCTCACAAAGACCAAGAGAAAGCGGACAGCCCTCGCACCGAGGTTGATAACGATGCCGCTCTGTCACCTGAACAGGGCGCAACACAAGCTCAGGCACCGGCCGGGCCGGTGGATCAAGAGGCGATGTGGGACTCAGAGGGCTTGGTTGCGGCGAAATGGGAGGGCTCATGGGCGGATCTTTGACTAAGTACACCATCTCTCACCCGGATGATGCGATGACGGAGGTTGGGCATTTTGTCAAGGGGCGTGACTGGCTGCGCATCGGATATAGAATTATGGATGATGCACGGACTACGGCACGAGCAAAAGGAGGAGGAGGGATGCTTGTTTGTATGGCCGGCTAGGACAACCCCAAGGAGCCTCGGGGTAATCAGAATCTGGAACATTGTATAACGTATCTTATCAGCGAGCGCCGCATATCAGCGAGCGCCGCACCTTTCTACACTACATGTCACCTCTGCACTTAACACCATTTTTTTCATCAACCCAATATGCCTCCTACTTCAAATGAAGCCAGGGTAATCTTGGCCATTGAGGCTATTCAGAAGAACCCGGAACTAAGTATACGCGCTGCAGCAAAGATCTACAACGTTGCCGACCGAACTATCCGCCATCGACTTGCCGGCCGTATTGCAAGACGCGATCTTCTAGCCACCTCGCGTAAGCTCACCGATCTAGAAGAGAGGGCAATAGTATAGTATGTGATTGACCTCTCTATACGCGCATTCCCACCTAGATTGAGTGGTGTAGAAGATATGGCCAACCATCTACTACGCGAACGCGACGCGCCGCCTGTTGGCAAGCTCTGGGCGCATCGGTTTGTCAAACGCCAGCCAGAGCTCCGAATACGTTATACGCGTAGATACGACTACTAAAGGGCGAAGTACGAGGATCCAAAAGTCATTGGCGAGTGGTTTGCCCTTGTACGGAACGTCAACGCCAAGTATAGTATTGTAGATGACGATATCTATAATTTCGACGAGACTGGGTTTATAATAGGTATTATCTTTGCGGGTATGGTGGTTACAACCTCGGATGGTCGTAGTAAGGCAAAGCTGGCCTAGCCTGGCAACCGTGAGTGGGCAATGGTAATCCAGGGAGTCAATGCCCTTGGCTGGGCCATCCCTCCGTTCATCATCTTGGCCGCGTAATACTACCTTGCCAACTGGTATACTGAGTGCAACCTCCCGGCCGATTGGCGTATTATAACCACCGACAATGGCTGGACTACCAATAAAGTAGGCCTAGATTAGATCAAGCACTTTGACTTCTATATAGTACCTCGTACAAAAGGCAAATACCGGTTGTTAATCCTCGACGGCCATAGAAGCCACTACTCGACCGAATTCGAGCTCTATTGCTAGCAGAATAATATCATCATACTCTGCATGCCTCCGTATTCGTCCTACCTCCTCTAGCCACTTGATGCTGGCTGCTTTGGGCCATTGAAGCAGGTATACGGTCGCCAGATCGAGGACTTAATACACATATATATCAACCACGTAAGCAAGCTCGAGTTCCTTTACGCCTTTCGCAAGGCCTTCTTTGCCTCCATCACCGAGAGGAATATCCAGGGCGGCTTTGCAGGGGCTGGCCTTATGCTGTACGATCCAGAGAGGGTGCTTTCCAAGCTGGATATAAAGCTTCGTACGCCAACACCCCCAACCTCCCAGCCTGGCGCTATGCAACCTTAGGTGTTCCAGACACCACACAACCCTCGGGAAGCCGAATCGCAGTCAACCCTCATCAAGACTCGCGTTGCCAACCATCAAAATAGCTCCCTGACTTCAATGTTGGCTGCTATGGACCAGCTTGCTAAAAGCACAACGGCTATGATGCACCAGGTGGCCTCCTTCAGGCAGAGAACGCTTCGCTCCGCAAGGCCAACGAGGCACTAAGCAAGCGCCGGAGAGCTAAAAGAACACGCGTGCAGCTTGGAGGATCACTTACTATATAGGAGGCACAAGAGGTGGTAAGTCAGGGGGCTATAGGTGGGGAGGCAATGCAAGAAACACAGCTAGATAGTGGTGGTGCCGGGGTGGGTCGTACGAAGGTTCGGTGCTGTGGTGTGTGCGGCAAGCCTGGCCATAATGCCCGCACTTGCCAGGAGGATGTAGGAGGATCTGATTTATCTGTTTCTGATGTAATTATAGTTGGTTGCTAGTGTTGTTGTATTGTAATTGAAGATGGTGTTCGTAGGGTAGTAGGGAGTGCGGCGCTCGGTGATATGCGGCGCTCGCTGATAAGATACGTTAGCCGAATCTTCCGGGTGAAGACGACAGCTGTTTGCCGTATATATGATGACTGGGACGTGCAAGACAAACATGAGAGGTAAAACGTGGCGAAACGTAGGTGACGTCCGATACGGCGGCGGCAGGTACGTGCTATAACCTTGCTGGCCAAGGGAGCTCCTATAACCCAACTGTTGCAAACCGAACCAACCGTTGACTATCCATTGGAAGCGAGAACGCTATATATACAGATGGGTTGACAGACTGAAGCGAAGTGCCCTCTGTTCTACAGGCGCAGTATATTCCATTATGACCGTTATTGTAATCAAGTCCAACCGCGCGCTCGGCATCAGCTGACCTATGGCCTAAATCTTACAACACCTCTACAAGGTTATCTTGCTTTCTTTTTTCGTTGTGTCCTGTCTTAATATGGCTTTGCTTTAGAAACGTGCCGTCTCCCGGTTAATTATATGGCGTCGATATTTATATTGTACAATAGGCAAATAAACTATTGGGCGCTATAATAGCTTCGGCCGCCCGATACGCTTAAATAGCAATCTAACCAAGCAGCGGCTGGCAGACGCTGGCTTCGTCGACATTAATAAGAAGGTCCTCCGATTACCCCTTAACGACGGAGCTATAGAGACACACAACAGAAACCTCGGCCGGTAGCTCCGCCTTAGCATTCGTCAAGCTTGCCAGCCACTCAGTTTAGCGCCCTTCGTTCGAGGGAATCGCCAGACCCTCGATAAGATCCACAATCTCCGAAAACATCAGGGTCGAGATATATAGCAATACTATACAAGCCTACTACACACTATAAGTTCCACTCTACAAGCTGCCGTTTGTCAAACGCAGTCTCCGTCTAGAGCAGAACATAGTTCACTAGTCCTAGGCATATCTTCACAGCCAGAAAGCCACGGTGATTACAGGCAAAGCTTCAGCTAACCCCCTCTAAGGGCCCGTCTCCCTAGTCTATGTCGGATAAACCATACTACCAAAATAACTAAACAATTTGAAAACTCAAAGTACATTTCGACTTAAGTACCGCATAGCACTATCTGGTACTGCTTGATATACCTCTACGACGCTGGCCCTTAGTCCGCTATCTTCCTACCTAGCTCTTGCGACAGCGCTATAACGTTCCAAGTTTGATTTCCCCGATCAAGGAGGTCACTTATTATCCTTCGAACCTTCCAGGGAAGTATCTGTATACAGAATGCAAGCATTAGAGCATAAAACCGTCCACACCTTTTCAGTTCATCATAGGTTGATACAGGAAGAGCTTGGCTAATATAGAGATCCCTTATATAGACAATCTATAAGTCTCTTAGCTCCATCGATAGAGATACTAGCCCCTTGAGAATTCGGAGACCAGCCCGGTAATAGGATATAGTCTAGCATTTGTATCTCGCCGCAAGTCTAACATCTGCCATAAATAAGCGGCCATTTCAAATGCTTGGTATAACTTACCCTGGCATAACGGAAAATTTCTTAACTGACATATTGGATCCGCTCTCTGAATATCCGTCAAAAGATTGATTCTCCCCACTAAGAAGCGTGGACTCGCTGCCATAATTCGAACAGGCGTACATTATAGGCATTGGAGAGTGGCGGTCTAATAGAATCTGAGTTAAAGTAACAAGTGTTACGCCAGCCAATGCTAATCTTATTCCCCGAAGCCAAACTGCCGCGGTTGCTACCATAGGCTTTGCCTAGTCGCGTCCCACAACACTTGCAGATATATCGCAAACAAAGGGGGGTCATTAAACGAGATCTCATTTCTTGTTTTCAAGACCCTTTTTCGGATTTCTCAATTCCACACGCACTCTTTGGTGCAGGCAGTGCCAGCAGTGCCCGCGACGTTGGTGTCCGTAGAGGAACCGCTGCCAGAGCCGGTGGCCGCAAGTGTATTGGCGGCTAGGCGAGTCGAAAGCGTTCCAGCATAAAATAGTAACATTAGCTGCAACTGCAAGGCCTCTATTTTCCGATGAACTCCAAGCCACTTGGTAGTATTACCGAAAGATATCGAATAATATGTCCAAATTATAGATAGAAGCTATCTGAGATACTGCCGACTAGGTAAAGGCTAAATGCGTAGGCGGTAAGACTGTTTCGGAGAGCGCGAAGTATAAGAATACGACAACGTGTTGGATTAAACTGGGCATTCGATTCTCCGATTCAGCGGTCTAAGGGTCGACAGAATAACAAGGCCCTCAGATAAGTGCGGAAGACGTCTTGTACTTAGATTTCTATACTTCAGTTGCACCGGTAGTGGCACGAGGGTATGCCCTAGCTCTCCTACCTCTTAAGGAACATGACATAAGCACCTAGGCAGCCCAACTTATTAGAGTGACAAGCGCCGATCAATAGAACGAGACGTTTGCTGGTCGCAGGATCAGTTCTTCATAGGAACTAAAGACCGAGAGGTTATAAAGATAAAAGCCTGATCAGTCTGCGTTTTGCTCTTGGGTAACGCTAGTTATATAGATGCTCGATATTATTACAAGGGTGTTGAACTTGTCATAGAGCATCTCGTCCCGGATATATCGGGGTTCTCAGTCAATCTTTCGCATAAGGTGCTTAGCATACAGTAGTTATAGGATTATTGACGGCCTTTTTAATTTGACCGCTTACTAGGTATTGATTCCTAAACTAAAAATGAATATTCTAGTTCCCAGCTTAAGGATATAGCTTTCCAAATACAACCTCCCGCAGTTCTATAGGGAGTGGCATTGCGCACCTTACTTCGGATAATGAGAGAATCTATATATAAAAGGCCGCTATTCCGCAGTGCCAAAGTGGGTGCCTTTGACCTATATCTCTCGCACTCGAAACTACTGTTGCGTATTCCGGATAGGCTTACAGATTTGAAACATAGAGCCATTGTTGTATCGAAGCTCGCGGTTGTCGAAAGGATAATGTCAACGGACTCTCTCCCACTATACCCAGATGCGCCGAGCTTCGAATGGGTCTACCTCAACCATCGCCGGGTAACCGAAGCCCAACCACCCCAGAATATCTCCAGCAGTCCCCAAAAGGAGACTCGCCCTCTAGCAGCCTCGCGTCAGCCCATAAGGTTCTACACGCAATACAAGTGCCCCATCTACGACACGCCTATCGCCGACCTAGACGGCGGCAATTTCATTGGTCATACTCCCTACCTCTATCGCGGACCTTGCCCTAAGTCAAGCTGTGTCCAGGCGTACTACGGCAGCAGACGGCGCTAGGCTAACCTGTACAAGGGTAAAGAGCCCTTATATTGTCAAGCGGCTGGATGCGAAAAGCGGATTGATATATGGTATTTCGTCAAAGCGACGATAACACCTTCAGGCGGTATCGTATAGATGAAAGCCGAAGCGGATCTTAAGCTGGCAAAGGCATGGGAGAAGGCAAATAAAACGAGGAAGAGGGAAGAAGAGAGGGAGAAGAAGGATAAGGAAAAGGAGAAGCAAGGTGGGGATAAGACTTTGACGGGGCAAGGTAACCTTTAACCATTTTAACATCCGGTTTAAGATCCGCTACTGGCCCTAATAAAAATACCGTATAGTTTATTTTTTAGACCTAAGCAGGTAAGCAAGGCTTGGCAACGGCGGCGAGACAAGTCTAACCTTTCTCTTAAACTCGATAAGAGACTCTATATCGGTCGGAAACCCATAGATAAGAGTCCACCTGTCCTATCGCGCGCCCTCTTCGATCTTTATATCCAAGATATTAACTACTAGGTCTATTGCGACGGGCAACCCTTCCTCTAAGCAATCCTTAAGATATTCGGCGTAGGGGAACGTAAGGTCCTCGGACCGTTCCCGAACAGCACTCTCCAAGGAGATATACTGAAGCCAAGCTTCATCGGCGGCGAAAGCCTGCTATATAAGGGTATTTGCAACGGAAGGGAAGCCCGGGGCAAAAATGACGGGAAGCCGACGGTTGCGTTTCGATAAATAAGCCTCCCTCTCGGTCTGTAATAAGCTTAACTACTCCCTTCCTTCCTAGGACTGGATCTTGACCGCCAGGCCCTAGAACTCGCTCAGATCCTTCGCTCCGTAGGTTCGTTGCTTATATTCGTGGGCTTATATCAAACACTCCAACTTGTCCATCTCCTTTACCTAGCGGCCCTCCGGCGTCCTTCCCTCCTTGTAGTCGAGCCAGGTATCTAAGATCTCTTCGGCGAGTTGGGGTTCATAGCGCTTTACCAAGCTCTCGATATATTTGAAACCAGAGCGCTCGAGCTTGTGCTTCCGTTCTAAGGCGCTTCTTAGTCTCTCGTTAAGGTAATAATATGCCGTATACGCACCTTTTGGAACATCCGCATATATTGGGATATCACCAACGACTAACTCCGCCAGATTGTGGCATAACGCTAGAAAGACGTACTTCGATCTATCCAGACCCTCTTAAAGGAAATTGTAAGTATATAGAAAGAATACAAGGACTGGGAAATCCGAACTGACTAGCGCGAAGAAGCCTATCAGCGCGAGTCGAAAGCTGTAGGAAGCCACGCTCTCTGGATTCTTGACCGTTCTCAGCCACCCTCCATCGTTACAACTGAAAAGGTAGAGGACCCGTGGACTGTGGAAAAGGCGCTGGCGACTATCGACAGACCCGCCGAGGGCTCGACATCCCCTGTGCCCTTCTTCCACCTGTTGGAGCGCCTTAAGACCACGAAGCGAGCGGGATGGATGCGCTTTAGAATCCAAAGGCATAGACGGCCCTTCTCCCTTACGGGACGTCATGCTAAGAGATGCTAATCCCTATGCCTCTGTCCAGGGGCGGATCAGTCGCGGATCATTCGTGGCGGATGGCCATGATGGCAGCATTGCCCGCCACGTCTCTTGCATGCCAGCTCGACATCGGAAAATGCATCAAGATGTATCTATTCCACGATATGGCCGAATCGCTGGTTGGCGACCTCACGCCCGCAGACGATGTCCCAAAGACAGAGAAACATCGAAGAGAGGCCGATACGATAAGTTATATCGAGGGGAAGATACTCCACAAAGTCAACGCTGGCGGCGCGGGACAGGAACTCGTGGACCTATGGCGCGAGTTCGAGGAGGGCAAGTCCTTGGAAAGCCGCTTTATACAAGATTTTGACAAGATCGAGATGCTCCTCCAAATGGTCGAGTATGAACGTCGCGCGAAAGGGCGCTTGGATCTGAGTGAGTTCACCTACGTAGAAACCAAGGTCTTGTTACCTGAGACCCAGGCCTGGGCGAAGAAGATCATCGGGGAACGGAAAGAGTTCTGGAAGACGCACGGTTCTACAGAGGCAGGTGCAAGCGAGATCCGGATGAGAAAGATGCAGGATGCGTATTACAGCAATTAGGATCCCCTTGAAGTAGCGTAGGATATGTCCATTGCACACTGTCATTATTACGGTATACCAGCCTCAAGTCTCCCTCAACAGAAGCCTTTCTCCTGCACATCCACCATCTCTGTGAATATCAACGAACTGATAGTAAGTCCTACGCTATCAGGGTTCCCATCTTCATACAACTGAGAGGCGTTTCGGCCAATCTAGCGTGCTTCCCCTGTTCGCTAGTGAGTGTATATCTCGGAAATCCCTAGGGGCTCTTACTCATCATGGACACACAAGATTGCAGTGTCTTCATAGAGGACACAAGCATTTCATCGTCACCTAGCAGCCTCTGCAAGCGTTGCTCGTCCTAGTTCTGGCATAGTAGCTGACGGCCCAGCGAACAATGAAAATACCGGAGCAACGAATTACAAGACGCAACTCCCTCGTCAATAAGCGTCGAAGGTCGAGACAGGTATATCCAGAAGCCAGCCTTGACGTTATTAGCAGCTTCCACATAACGGCAGCGTAGGGCGGGGGTAACTACACGGAATCTTTGTATCGCGCCCAATATATATTCCGTCCAGCATCAAGCTCTCGGATATAGAGGAGGAGGAACACCGCCAGGGTTCCGACAATCCACAGACGTCGGTCCCTAGGAAGACGACTAAGAGTTTAGGTGATCCTTCGATCAAGTTCGATCATCCTTAATTCCAGGAGATAGTTCACCTGGTTCTTTACCATCCGGGGAACTAGAATATGCCTATACCATACTGAAACAGGATCGTCGACAACGGCCATCCCTAACGTTTCCGGCCTAGAGAACTGGCACCCTATCATAATCAGCCGAAGGGCGGTGTACATTTCGAGGCAGTCATTGATAAGTGAATTCTTCATCTAGATATTAGCATCTCTATCCTATAAGCGCGAGGAAGATCCAGAGGGGTACTTACGTTACGATAAAACCAGATCAGCTTAAAGACGAAGCTCACTGCGTACTCCCCGTTACGCGCCTCGTCCAACGCAAGATGAACACTCGCCTTAATATGCGAGGCAATATCCACTTCTTCCGCCAGACAGAAGGCTATCGTCGGGACAGAGTGCCAGCCCGATCTATCTTTCTTCAAGGCGCGGACCTAATTAAACCAGATCTAGTATGGTTGGGATATGCAGGGCAGGGCAGGGCAAGTGCCATAACGACATGAATTGTATGGCCTTGAGAATAGGGTGTGGTTATGTCCAACCAAACCAGAAGATGGCTATGTATAGGAGGGTTTGCAAGGTGCGTTTGCATGTGCAGTGAAATAGTTCCATGGGGTGTTCAACAAGCGTATAAACAAAATGTTGGGTTAGTAGTTCTGACTTAAACAACGGAGTAAATCATATCCCCGTATCTGCAAAACATGGCAACATCCTAAATCGAGAAGCCCTCTACCGTCGTCAATATAACTATATCTCCCTCGTCCAAGGTCTTAATAGATTGCCAGAACCAAGCAAGCTATACTCTGGTTGTTAAGCTGCTATCAGGGCTTACTATTAATAGTCCAAAGGACAAAACTATATACCTCGAAGTTTCTGCCCAATTCCAACGACAAGCTTGTTAGTCTTGCCATAGGTACACAGCCAATAAAGCCTAAGCGCAGTAACGACAACCATAAGAGCCCAGCGGTCACCCATCTCCCCCGAACTACCGGCCCCCTTTAGCTCCAGTGAGAACAAGTGGTTCAAGGACATCACATTGCGAAACAGAAGCTCGGCGAGTATTTCGGTTTCCTCTTGTGCCGGAGGAATAAGTGAAGGCGAAGCGGACTATAGGTCTAGTCGAACGAGGATGAAGCCACTATAGGCGTTACCCGTCCTAACCTTCCTCCACTCAAATTGCTCACGGCATTTCATCTTAGGGCCAACCTCGATGGTAAAGCGAAACGAAACGGCACCGTCGCTGGTCTTTATAGCATACATGATCTCGGTGATCAGGTCGCAAGGGTTCGCTTCAAGGTCCAGCGGCAGCAGCATGATGTAACTCTTAACGCTGAAGGTCGCTATAAGAAGGGGTTCTCGAGCTTCGTCGCCCGCGGCCGCCAGGATAGGGGCGTCGGTGCTCGTTCCGTTACGTAGGTACAAGCCGGGTCTGAAATGAAGCGGTCCTCTAGGGGTGAAGCCATGATGTACATCGACGAGATATAGGAGATCGTTCTTAGCCGCACCGCAAAGCTTGAACGTATTCAGTGCGTCGAGGATACCAGAGGGATTGCCGTAGAGGTTGAGGACTGGAGGGAACAGGCGATATCCAACAAAGGCCGCTGGTAGCCTGCTCGATACCCGACGAAGGTCGTCGTCCACCGATGCTCTGGCCTCGTCGCTCATAGTGCACTCTCAATGCGCGATCTGGCCGTATAAAAAGATGTAGGGAAATGAAGCAGCCAAATCGCTAAATGTCGCTTCTAGTGCTAAGATGTCTCTGAACCCAGTCAAAGCAAACGTGAGAACAGGTTGAGGAGAAAGCGAGCAGCACGCCTACTGCTTTGTGGGAGGGGGGCCGAGACGGCGCTCGGAGGCATCGGATGATCGTACCCAAACCTATTGCCGCTGCAGGGAGAAACTGCAGTTGGTGCTACAATATAAGCGATAGTAACACCGGCTTAGATTGGCCTGCCCTTTTTAGAAACCCGAGCTCGGCAACGGGCAACCGTGCCGGCGAGTTCCGTAATAGGGAATATTCGAACACGGCGCGTTCACGTCGTTGAACCATCAGACCTAGACCACTTCAACCCAGGCCAGTTGGAGGAGCCAATACAGTATACGTACCTATTTCCCTTTACGGTGCACCTACCGATACCTTACCCGCCCGGCCCCCCCTTCCCCCTACAACAATGGAAGTTAACAACCCGCCCTGCGGTCAGGCGTTAACCCACGCTCGCCGCCTAGATGAAAACCCCCTGCTCGCGTCCTGAAGGTGTTCAGGACTTCTGACCAATGCACACTTGGGGACAATGCAGGCGCAATGGTTCGCGGTTGTTAATCGGCTAAATGCACTCGATACTTGCCGCTATAGGGGGAAACCACTGAACCAGCTACTGGTTCAGTAGAACCAACAGATATGGACCGCCTTCAACTTGAACTGGTCAGAGGAACTTTTACAAAGTACCAATTTCCCCTTGCGATGCACTCACACCTCACCTGTAAAACCGCTTCCCTTACCTTACCTGCAGCCCCCCTTGCCTCACCCCTACGTACCAACCACCACCGTCGCCTGTCTCCTTAGGAGCGTCAAGCTCCATATACAAGGGGATACTGCCATACCGGGACCAGGCAGAAGAACACGCTCGCCACCCAGATGTAACCAAGCACTCGCTTCCCAACCGACGTATGGGGACGCTGCAGAGCAACGGTTCCCCTTGCCAATTTGCCTTCTACGACGGTCTCTACTAAGCATACGACGTAATTGGAGAGGAAGAAGCGAAGCTCCTGCGCTGTGTTGGCCCTTCGCGTCAGGATCCAGTTCGAAACTGCGTGCAAGATGGCGGATAAGGTGAACATCTATAGCGCCCGGAGCGCCCGGGAGATTACGGCAGACCTCCGCCGCCGCGTTTTCTGTTGGTCATGCGGCGTCGGTTGCAACGGCGACCGTGTTGGCTGCGGTGCGTTGCCATCACCATGTGCGGGCTACATGAAGCAGTTGGCGCGTAGCCGGTCATCAGCCCTGGATATGCCAGTCGGGGTGAGGACGTGGGGTGATGGGATCCTTACCTTGGTACCAAGGAACATGGGCAGGTAAGCGTCAAACGAGCCAATATGCAGCCGGTGCCAAAACACGCCCCAGAATCGCCGGAGGGAGTAGGCTTCGGTGAAATTACCGAAGAGCGGAGGCCACTCGTCTGGCCGGTCCCACTGAAGAACCGATACAAACAAGACAGCTAGAAGGGCGTGTGCGGCGGATAGCAGTAGATGAGTATCCCAAATCCATTGGGTAGAAATCACAACTCTTAGCGATAGATCTCGCTTCGTGAGAGGTGGTAAGAAACCCTGCTTGTCTGGCCCGAAGTCTCGGCGAGTGAGGTGGAGCCTATATAGGATGTTGGTAGTAAAGGCGGCTGTAAGATGACGGATGGCTAAGAGGAGTAGGGCATATCTACATCGGTGAAGAGCAAAGGTAATCCTGATCGAAGTGCTGGGGCTCGGGCTGTTGTTCGCAAGGCGTAGCCTGCGAGGATTGCCCCAGATACGGAAGATGGCACGCAGTCGCTGGGCAAACGGAGTAGAGCCCGGGAGCTTGACCACTTTTCTTTCCAAAAAAAGGACTGCTATTGTATGAAGTGTAATAAGTAGTGCTAAGGGAACTAAAAAGTGGTTGAAAGAAAGGTACAGAATACTCCTTAGCCTAAGTGCAAGAGTGACGCTGGCCAAGTGTAGAATCGATAAGATGAACCGAGTGGCATCGAACTGCTGTTGAACAGCTAGGTAGAAGAAAACGGTGGCAAGGCAGAAAACAATCAAGGGACAAGAAGCATAAGCTGCTAAAATCAACCAGAACGGTAGGCGGAGGGCAAGCAAGGCAAGCATTTTGATTTAGAGGCGTGCTAAAGCGGTAACGTACATGATAAGCGAGTGACCCAGACAAGCGAATGACCCACTTCCTACACGACGCGACATCTTTGCACTCAACAACAAAATTTCCTCTACCATCCAAAATGCCCTCTACTTCAAAAGAAGGCCAGATAATATTGGCTCTCCAAGCTCTTCAAAACGACAAGAATCTAAGCGAACGAGCCGCAGCTAAGATCTATGGGGTTGACCGTAGGACCCTGGGGCGCCGACGCGCCGGCAAGCCTGCACGATACGATCTTCCAGCCAACTCGCGCAAGCTCACAGATCTAGAAGAGAAGGCGATAGTTCAATATGTCAATGAGCTATCTGCACGTGCATTCCCGCCTAGGTTGTATGGTGTGGAAGATATGGCCAACCAACTACTGCGCGAACGCGACGCGCCCCCTGTTGGCAAACGCTGGGCTTACAACTTCGTTAAACGCCGGCCAGAGCTCCGTACGCGATATACACGTAGATACGACTACTAGAGGGCTAGATGCGAAGATCCAGACGTTATTCGCGAGTGGTTTAGGCTTGTGCAGAACACTAAGGCCAAGTATAGTATTGTGGATGACGATGTCTATAACTTTGACGAGACCGGGTTTATGATAGGCATTATCTTTACGGGTATGGTTGTTACGACCTCAGATGGCCGGAGCAAGGCTAAGCTGGCCCAGCCTGGCACTCGCGAGTGGGCAACAGTGATCCAGGGAGTCAATGCTCTCGGCTAGGCTATCCCTCCGTTCATCATCTTGGCCGTGCAATACCACCTCGTCAACTGGTATACCGAGTGCAACCTCCCGGCCGACTGGCGCATCGCAACCACCGAGAACGGCTGGACTACCAACACAGTAGGCCTTGATTGGATCAAGCACTTCGACTACCATACAGCGCCTCGGACAAAGGGCAAATACCGGTTGTTGATCCTCGATGGCCACGAAAGCCACCACTCGACCGAGTTCGAGCTCTACTGCCAGCAGAACAATATTATCACGCTCTGCATGCCTCCACATTCCTCCCACCTCCTCCAGCCACTTGATGTTGGCTGCTTTGGGCCGTTGAAGCAAGGGTACGATGGCGGTAATGCACCAGGTGGCCCTCCTTCAGGCAGAGGTGTCTTCGCTCCGCAAGGCTAACGAGGCGCTAAGCAAGCGCCGGAGAGCCAAAAAAACACGTGTGCGGCTTGGAGGATCACTTACTGTGCAGGAGGCACAGGAGGTGGTAAGCCAGGGGGCTATAGGTGGGGAGGCAATGCAAGAAACACAGCTGGATGGTAGTGGTGCTGGTGGGGGTCGTACGAAGGTTCGGTGCTGTGGTGTATGCGGCAAGCCTGGTCATAATGCCCGCACTTGCCAGGAGGTTGCAGAAGCATCTGATTCAGCCGTTTCTGATGTGATTGTAGTTGGTTGATAGTTTTGTTGTTTTGTAATTGAGGATAATGTTTGTAGGGTAGTGGAGAGTGGGTCATTCGCTTGTCTGGGTCACTCGCTTATCATGTACGTTAGCTATAGCGATATATTCATCAAGCATATCAGGTCGGTCTTTCTAGTATAGTTTATCCTTAACTTCTTCCTTTAAGCTATTATAGAATAATTATATAAGACTTTCGTCGTTGATTTCGTACCGAAGTAAGTCCTGGCGGAACTATATAGTATAGGTAGCCGCTGACTTTGTCTACCTTAGGTATACGAGTTACTCCTATATATAGAGCTTTTTATTATAGTCTCCGAACACCTTCTAGATTTCTTACTTAAACTTATTATACGACTTAAAAATTTCAATGGTGAAGTCGTCCTAAGCATCTATACTATTAGTTAGCTAATCCTTAAGGGTAGGTTTAAACTATCGAAGTGCCTTCCCCTTAAGCCGCGAGGAGATAAATATCACTTTGGCGGACTCGTCTATGAACTTATCCGGGTAGTATTTGAGATAGGCTCTTATAGACATAAAGAATCTGGTAAGCCCTTCTTTATTGCCTCTATATTTAGAGGGTGCTTCGAGTTTAGCTTTATCTTTAGGCTTGCCATTGTAGGCCTCGTTGACGAGCTATTATATATGGCCATTCTCGGCCTCGAGCTAGGCGATTTTGGCATTAAGAGCCTCGAGAGCCTACTCTATCTGTCGTATGGTTACGGCCTGGCTCTAGGATTCTAGGGTGCTAGGTGTCTAAGGTGCTATAATAATCGGTATTACCTTTGATCTAAACCGTGATAGAGTTAAAGGGAGTGACCAACGTATGACGAAACTATAGCAGTCCTGCCTCTGAAAGGTTTGCCGGTCGAAGGTATTGTTGGTCGGACTATAGGTCTCGGTAAAGCCAAAAGGTTCATAATAATGCTTAGTCGTAATGTCTATATAATAGGTAGAGGCTATTGCTTGTAATTGCTCACTGGAGAACTCCCAGAGTCCTCTAGCACGAATGGCTAGCTGCCCTATATACTACAGTCTTTCTATGGATCACTGATTGCCTCTGGTAATCCCTTATACTGGATCACCTTGGATCACTGGTGATCCTTTGTGAGCTTTATAGCTGGATCACCAAGCCTTCCCTATGCCAAGCGTGATCCTGTCCTGATTGGTCCATACTTGGACTGGAATGATTGGATGCGGGCGCCGCCTGCGGGCTATGCAGGTCGGCCCTACCGGCCTCTGCAGGTTAATTCATGGCAGCTAGCTATCTAAATAAGTGACAGAGTAGTAAAACCATATACAGTTTCCTCCTAGGTACCCCTATACCTAGATCATCTGGCTTACAGTGATCTGGATGAGCTGCTCATTGCGCTCACCACTGATCGCTCTAAGCCTACTTATAATGCCAAGCATTGAGCCGTCCGGGGCCCACACTGCGTCCTGTTCCCGATTGGTGCCCCGTGCCTAGCTGCGGCCCCGCCGGCCTGCATATATGGTTGGTTCATAATACTATCCCTCTATTTATTATCTTAGCTGTATAATACTATCTCACCAACTAATATACTAAGTATAACCTCCTAGCCGACTAGTATATTGCAACTACCAATAATAGCTAGACTATGTCACAAATCAGTAGATGCAGGCCAGGCTTAATGGCTCTAGTAGGCAACTGACTATATTACAAGAATACTGAACTTGTAGAAGGAAGAGTTCTGCAAGTGGAAGATATGAAGCAGGAAGGTTATCACGAACCAACCATATAGCAAGACCCAGTAAGGCGTAGCGGAAGCAGATATAGCTAATCAGCAGGGGTGAAAGCTGCAAGCGGCTGCATAAGAATGACCCAGGTAGCTTAGGGTCGCCAGCGAGCAAAAGCGATTATAATAAACTTGGGTAGCTATCTACTCAAGGCGATCAAGGGTAAATTACGATAGCTGGCAAGTGGCGGCGAGCTAGCAGAATTGGCTAAGTATATAGTCATTCGTTCTGAAGAGCTCTAGGAGTCCTCTAGTGAGCAATATAAGCGATAGCCTCTACCTATTATGCAGATATTGCGACTAGCATTGTTATGAACCTTTTAGCTTCACTGAAGCCTATAGTCTGACCAGCAGTACCTTCGACCGGCGAACCCTTTCAGAGGTAGGATTGCCTACGGTTTCATCATAAAAGTCTAAATACAGGATGTGGGATATAGGGCACTTGCCAGATATAAAAGGTGGGGCATGCGCTCTATAACCAACTAATTATACTGCATGCATCATGTATGATACGGTGTGACGAAACCACAGGCAGTCCTGCCTCTGAAAGGGTTCGCCGGTCGAAGGTAACTGCTGGTCGGACTGTAGGTTTCGGTGAAGCCAAAAGGTTCACAACAATGCTTGCCGCAATGTCTGCACAATAGGTAGAGGCTACTGCTTGTAATTGCTCACTGAGGAAGCTAGCTATCTGAACGAGTGGCAGAATGGTAGAACTATATACAGCTTCCTCCCCTAGGTATCCCGTACCTAGATCTCTAGAATACTTGGAACAATTGTTGTTCTCATTGTTCCATCTGGAACAATGCTTCTTGGCATTGTTCTCCAGGAACAATCGATCTTGGCATTGTTCCTGATCTCCCCAATCCTCATTGGTTCTTTCTGACTCGTAATGATTAGATGCGGGCGCCGCCTGTTGACCATGCAAGTCGGCCCCCACCGGCCTCTGCAGGTTAGTTCATGACATACGGTGGGTTCCACTGTCACAGACCACTAATATAGTAGGCCTAGATCAGATTAAGCACTTCGACTTCTATGTAGCGCCTTATATAAAAGGTAAATACTGGTTGTTAATCCTCGACGGCTATAAGAGCCATTACTCAACCGAATTTGAGCTCTATTGCCAGCAGAACAATTTTATCACGCTCTATATACCTCTATATTCCTCCTACCTCCTCTAGCCACTCGATGTTAGCTGCTTTAGGCCGTTAAAGCAGGCGTACAGCTACTAGGTTAAGAACTTAATACGTATATATTTCTAACTATATAAGCAAGTTAGAGTTCCTTTACGCCTTTTGTAAGGCCTTCTTTGCCTTTATCACTAAGAGGAATATCCAAGGTGGCTTTGCAGGGTCTAGCCTTATACTGTACAATCCAGAGAGGATGCTTTCCAAGCTAGATATTAAGCTTCATATACTAATACCCCCAACCTTATAGCCTAGCACTATATAATCTTAGGTCTTCTAGATACTATATAACTGTCACGAGGGCCGTCGTTCAAGGCCAGGGTCAAGCCTCTAGTGGTAAACTGACTGCATTGCAAGAATATTGAACTTATAAGAGGAAAGAAATCTCGAGACTGCAAGGTAGGCTTTAAATACAGGATGCGAGTAGGTCTGAGCTTGCATGCATGATGTAATGGAACATGCATAATGAATCATCACTTGGTATGATGAATTATTATACATACAAATGATATCGTCATCATGGTTGGTGCATTCTACCATTACAATAACCCCTATAAAGCCAAGTTACAATCAACGCTTATTAAGACTTATATTGCCACCCATTAAAATAACCCCCTAACCTCAATGTTAGCTGCTATAGACCAGCTTATTAAGGGTATAATAGCTATAATATACTAGGTGGCCCTCCTTTAGGTAGAGGTCTCTTTACTATGTAAGGCCAATAAGGCACTAAGCAAATGTCAGAGAGCTAAAAAAAAACACGTATATAGCTTGGGGGATCGCTTGCAGTATAAGATACAAAGGATCAACTAGACCAGAAGGCTGTAGTTAGGGAGGTGGCTCAAGAAAAGGAGCAGGATGGTGGTAGTACAGAGGGGGCGCGTACGAGGATTCGGTGCTATGGTGTGTGCGGTAAGCCTGGCCATAATGCCCGCACTTGCCAAGAGGCTGTAGAATCGTCTGATTCAGCTGCTTCTGATGTAATTATAGTCAGTTCTTAGTGTTGTTGTCTTGCAATTTAGGATAGTTGTTGTAGGGGAGTGGAGAGTGCGCAGCTCGCTTATATGCGCAGCTCGCTTATAAAATACGTTAGTCAATGCACAAGTCTGGGTATTTTGCGTGCATCCCCTACCCACGTTGCATTTGTATCCTCCTTCCTCGACTACTGACTCGACGGCACCAGCTATCCTCAACATCTCCTCATAATCCCCGCGATCCTCGCTTCCTTGACCTAGTTGGCGGCAGCAACCTTCTCAGCCCATCGCCTTTTGTTCCGTTATAAATTTCTGGTCCGCAAACCTGCCCTGGCAAGTCAGGTAGACGACTTGCATCAAAGTCTTGCCCTCGAACCTCGGATCGACGGGCAAGTGTTCAAGAGCGTTATGCACCTGAGGGTCGAATTGTGAAGGGTGAAGCCTACCCCGCAGGATGGCATCACCAGGCTTCGACTTTGCGATGGAAATCGCAAACTCATTGGTCCACGGGTAAGGGATGACCTGCTCGAGCATGCCATCAGGAAGCCAATCCTCCCCCTCCGCGTACTCTAGCACTTGGAAGAATGTGACCTGGGCGCTGCGCAACTGAGGCTTGTTAACGCGGGGCTTGTAGAAGAGTTCGAACAGGTCCAACCAATATTTCTTGGAGTCCTTGTTGGCCCCGGCCAGCTTTGGGCATTTATCGGAGAAATGCGAATTGCTGTTGCAGACGCCACAAGCCTTTATGCTGCCATAGTGGTAACACGGGCACCAGCAGTCTTTGACTTTGTGTCCGCTTCTACCGCAGTTGCCGCACCGGGGAGTACCGCCGGATCCGGCTGACGGCGCGGTGTCAACAGGGACCATGGTCGTATCTGCGTCTTGCTGCTTCTTCCGCGGAACAGGAGCCAGTATCTTTCGAGCAGGAGCCTGCGAGGCGGCCTGATCGGGGCCACGCACGAGGACCCGATGATCTCGGGCTGTCTGGAGCGGGAGACACTCCACGTGCATGTTGACAACTGGGGCATTGTGCCTTTTGCAAATGTCCCGCAGTGTATTCAGCAGAGGATGGTCGGTTCTGTCATCATCGTCTGCCACCCACTTCATGACGTAGGAGGCCCCGGGGCGATTGGGGTCCTTGGCGTACCAATTGACCTCCCCGGTGCTAGCCTCCAGAATCTGGGGCTTACCCGGGCCTTCATACCGGGAGAACACCTTGTGTTCAACGAAGTTCTCCAGTCGCTGGCTACCCGGGTCGACGTGGACTCTCTTGGGGTTCCACTTGACGTCGTCCAAGCTCGCCGTGACCCCCGACTGCGCTGTCAGCCTAAAGTCTTCGACATCCCTGCGCTGGCGCTTTCGGGATCGACGGGACGGCGGTCCGACATCACTGCGGCCAGAGGCGAAGCTACCAGTGCCCCTTCGAGAGGCAGAACCAGCAGCCGCAGCTTCTCCAGCGGCAATGCCAGTAGTCCTGGCCGTGTCCTCGGACAAGGCAATCACTTCGCGCGAGGGCGGCACGCCCGCGGGAGTCTGCTGATTGGAAGTCATCGAATCTGCCTGGTGCATTCGCCGGAGCGGTTAGCAAATGAATCATTTCCATGTAACAGGAGTCATGAGATTGCCTACGTTGGTAATGCGACCGATTGGTGATGACAACGCAAAATCGATGTCCTTTTTTTTTCGTGGTGTTGGAAAAGGAACCAAAGTAAAAGGTCGGTCTGGAAACAGAAGATATTGGGTCGTGAATTCAGTTTCCTGTGTGGGTTGTGATTGGCTAACGCATCATGCGCCTCAAGTGTTATCACCTCGACGTCTGACTTACCCAAGCCGAATCAGTTCGATTTCAGGAAGCCTCGAGCAACCCTAGAGCGGTATTAAGACGGGGTGTTGTCAAGGACGAGGCGTTATAAGTAAGGTAGCGAAGGGCATCTTTACGTCAACGCCACGGCCGTCAGGACAGCCTAGGCTGTTGAACTTAGGCGATCACACAGGTTGCAGTATTGCTTGCTTGAGGAGTCTGAGACTCTGGGAGACCTTGGTTACTTATGTAGATGGAGAGCCTGTTTCCCAGTCTTCTGCCACTGTTCCCGCTGTACCGGTACTTCCAGTACCATGCCTAGCTTGTGGTCTCTGCCCATGATTTCAGTATAGGCGAAGGCCGCGAGGCTATCAGCGGCAATACTACCAAGACGCCTATGGCAACGGTCTTAGTATCGGGATAACTGTAACCTACCATCAAGCGACTTCTCCGTCCTGGAACCCCAGACCGACTGCAGACCTGGACACCTAAGGTACTCGGTGTAATACCTACCTGGCGGGTACGTACACATGGCTGTGTGCTACAACGATAAAGACATGTGCGGAAGATGCGCAGTGCAAGGTCACCGACCACTCGCACGAGGTGTAGCAATGTGTACCGACTTGAACTTCGAATACTATCATCCTCGGAAACCAACCAACCCTACCATTTCGATCCCAAGAGGCATGGACCGGAGAGGTTACCTGCGGACCCCTTCCTCAAGGGCAAAACCGCGAGGCAGGTTATCGACATGCTTGCCGATGGGACGCTGGCTGGACAGAAGTTCATGACCAAAGACGAACGAGAGCGAGCTGAGAAACTGGCAGAGCAGGCGAGTGGCCTTGACGGAGTTGGCAACGCTGACAACAGCATCTCGGAGGATGGAGTCCGCATCAAGGCCGCACCGGTCGAGAGTGTTGTGCCGGATAGACATGGCGGGCATCACGGGACATCACACGCCCGATGATGTCACATCATGGAAGCCGAGTTGGCAATGTCAACGAGCTCTATGATACATGATGTCCTGGCAACTGATAGACAAATTAATACTGTCCCTCATTCTCTGGTTACCTTGTCTTGTGTGTGATATTTGTATGAATCTGACTCCCCAGTTACTATACCCCAAGTTCCAACCCAGCACCGGCCTCCCACCTCCGGCGCTCATATAAGTCGACCGGTCTCTTCTCGTATCCCAGTGGAGGGTGGTTCGGCTAGTTCTTCCATGAATTCTCCGGGATTGTTGAAGAGCAATCCTCTGTGACATCCTCGATGCCCCTGACGCTGTCAAGGTCTGTGCGCCTGTTCGCCCTGTTGGCGTGATCGATGAGAAGCGGCCGGCCTCGAGCGTCGTACACCTTGGTCTGTGTGGCGGGAGCCTCGCCTAGCCTCTGCTTGGTCGTCCGCACGCCAGAGCCGTTGTCGTTCGAGTAGGCCTCGTGCTTGTAAGCCCATCCCTTAGTCGCGCCGTGACCGTTGACCGAACCTGAGCCCACGACGACTGCCGAGGCGGAGCTGGAAAAGGAGAAGTTGAACGGCATAATCTGATCTTGATGGTGATCAGTGGTATTACTCGTTAGAGCTCACGATGTGTTGTGGTGAATGGGAAAGTTAGTAGTTCCTTAGTTTGGAGGTTGGCAGGTTGGCGGGTTGGCAGGTTGGCAGCGGGAAGCTTGTAAGCTTATCTGAGTTGTCGCCACGAAGCATCAGCATGACGTCACAACGGTCAAGCCTGTACGTATTGTATGTACTGAATGTGTTTGGGTACATACCTGTAACGTATTTGATAAGCGAGCGGTCCAGACAAGCGAACGGTCCACTTTCCGACGCGGCGCGCCACCCTTGCACTCAACGTCGATTTTCTCAACAACCCAACATGCCTCCTAGTTCAAGAGAAGCCAGGGTAATCTTAGCCCTTGACGCTCTTCGAGATGACGAAAACCTAAGCCTACGAGCTGCAGCAAAGATCTACGACGTCAGCCATACTACTCTACGCCAGCGACGCAACGGCCGGCCTATACGACGCGATATACCAGCCAACTCATGGAAGCTTACGGATCTCGAAGAGCAGACGATACTTCAGTATATGATTAAGCTATCTGAGCGTGCATTCCCACCTAGACTGAGCGGTATAGAAGATATAGCCAACTATTTGCTATGCGAACGCGATACGCCCCCTATCGGCAAACGCTGGGCTAAAAACTTCGTCAAACGTAAGCCAGAGCTCCGGATACGTTGGACACGTCAATACAACAACTAGAGGGCCAAGTGCGAGGATCTAAAGATCATTGGCGCGTGGTTTATCCTTGTACGGAATATCAAGGCCAAGTATAGTATTCTAGACGACGATGTCTATAACTTTGACGAGATTGGGTTTATAATGGGTATTATCTATATATATATGGTGGTTACAACCTCTAATAGGCGTAGTAGGGCAAAACTAGCCTAGCCTGGCAACCGTAAATAGGCAATAGTAATCCAGGGAGTCAATGCCCTCGGCTGGGCTATTCCTCCCTTCATTATCTTAGCTATATAGTACCACCTTGCCAACTAGTATACCAAGTGCAACCTCCCAGCCAACTGGCGCATTGCAACTACTAATAATGGCTAGACTATCAATAAAGTAGGCCTAGATTGGATCAAGCACTTTAACTACCATATAAAGTCCTATACAAAGGGCATATACCGGTTGTTGATCCTCGACGGCTATAAAAGCCACCACTCGACTGAGTTCGAGCTCTATTGTAAGCAGAACAACATTATCATACTCTGTATGCCTCTATACTCTTCCTACAAGTGCCAGCCACTCGATGTTAGCTGCTTTAGGCCACTAAAGAAGTCGTATAGTCGCTAAATCGAGAACTTAAGACATATATACATCAACCACATCAGCAAGCTCGAGTTCCTCTGTACCTTCCACGACGCCTTCTTTGCCTCTATGACAGAGAGCAATATATAGGGTAGCTTTGCAGGGGCTGGCCTTATACCATACGATTCAGAGAGGGTGCTTTCTATACTGGATATATAGCTTCGTACACCAATACCCCCAGCCTTATAGCCTACTATAATACAACCTTAGGTCTTCCAGATACCATACAACCCCCGAGAAGCCAAATCGCAGTCAACGCTCATCAAGACTCGAATTGCCAATCATCAAAATAGCTCTCCGACTTCGATGTTGGCTGCTATAGATCAACTTACCAAGGGTACAATGGCTATAATGCACTAGGTTGCTCTCTTTCGGTCAGAGGTCTCTTCGCTCCGCAAGGCCAACGAGGCACTAAACAAGCGCCGGAGAGCTAAAAGAACACGCATACAGCTTAGAAGATCACTTACTATACAAGGTTCACAGGATCTACTGGCCTAGAAGGCTGTGGGTAGAGAGGTAGTAGGAGAAACGCAGCCGGAAGGTAGTAGTACAGGGGGGGGTCGTACGAAGGTTCAGTGCTATGGTGTGTGCGGCAAGCCTGGCCATAATACGCGTACTTGCCGGGAGGCTGCAGAATCCTCAGATTCAGCTGTTTCTGATGTAATTATAGTTGGTTCCTAGTGTTGTTGTGTTGCAATTGAGTATAGTGTTCATAGGGTAGTGGAAAGTGGACCGTTCGCTTGTCTGGACCGCTCGCTTATCAAATACGTTACAGGTATAATACATCCATACACGAGTCCATACAGGAGGTGCTTTACTGCACCGTACGTGTAACCGCAGACTTCCGATGCCTTCAGTTCACAGTACCCCGAGCTAATAGAGAGCGAAACGGGTCAGCATGACACTGTTACTACAACATTACAAACCGGAAGAGTCATCACAGTGTCTGCAGTGTCAACAGCATCAACAATATACCTATTCTTCGAACGTTATGCAGTTTGCTGGCTGTGATTTACGAGTGGGTCAAGAAATAAGGTATATGATGCGTGTAAGTTACCGTCGGCCATATCCGCTTACGCGTCCTAAAATCGAATGCTGCGCATCTTACAAGGACTGCCGGAAGCAAAAAGGAGTCTGCTGCCTATTCTTTGGCTCGATTGGATTGTTTACCCTTCTTCTTCCTTCATTTATTACTAGAGCACGTGCTAAAGCTAGGGATCAGTGAGAGGCATCCTGAACCCACGTTAGACCTCACCAGCTTTAGTGCTAGATATACACCTGGTGTGCTGTCAGTGTCTGCCTCTGTCGGCGAAACACGACGTGCAGCCACAGGGCTAGTAGAGGCCTCTGGAAGACGACTTGCTGCGCCGCACGAAAGAGTTGCAGTACTCGGAGATGCAACGAATCTCTGCGGCGCACTCGCCCAGTCTGAGTGCGGAGTTTCTTCCCGATGTTGCCTGCAGCCTGCAGTTCCTCTTCCACCTCACTTGCTTCGGGTTTGGGCGAGTCCCTGGTGAAGTCTGATCACCCCAGCACTACTACTTAGTAGCCGTCAAGATGTTATGTGCCCGATGCCGCAACGCGCTGCAGTATTTCGTTACGAAGGATGACTCGCCATTACGACCAGGTGGGCACACACGCCAACTCCCATTCTGTTTACCCCCGTCACTACTAGGTGGCTTGCTTACGCTCTGCTGCTTCCACCAACGAAGGACAGCAGCGTCACGGCCACGAGAGTCGTAAGCGGGGCCCGTGGATCGGGACTGCCCATCATCCCACATACGAAAGTCTGAAGGGAGCCATCGACCAATGTTGCAGTCTTTGCATTGCCCTTTTGGAGATGCTGGCCCCTGAACAACAAGACTTCCTCATGGATCCCTCTCGGCCGCACAAGGACGGCACCTCGGCGACCTTGCCCAAAGTCTCTACGAGATTCTCCGGCTGTCGAGAAACGTCGTACTATTGGCTAAATGCTCACTATTATGTATCGGGAAGCCCGCTCTCTACTTCCTTCCGTCGCCGTGCTCAAGTTATTATTCTGGAGCCAGTCAACGGTGAGATTCCCTTCACCATTCCGACTTTCACGGCAGAACCCCCTAGCCGGCAACTCACCGCAAACAGACGCTAGTGAGCACCCCCTCGCACTCACCAACCATACACAATCCCCGGAGACGTTGGCCCTGGCTAAGCGCTGGTTTTCCGATTGCGTCCGACACCATAAGAGGTGCACGGCCGCCTCTAGGGGCGGACCTTGGTATCCGACCCGCCTCCTTGATCTCAGCCGCATCGTTCATGATGGCACGGAACCGAGCTCGGATCAGATAGTATCCGTCATCGAAACGTCAAAGGTGCCCCCGGCTGGGCGGTACACGACCCTGTCCCATCGCTGGGGCCGGACGGAGGAACTCCAGCTCACCAAGCGCACGTATCCTCATCTCGCCACGGGAGTCCCAGTGGGATCATTGCCCCGGCTCATGCGCGATGCCATATTCATCTCGCTCGAGCTGGGGATTCGCTACCTTTGGGTCGATTTGCTCTGTATCTATCAAGGCAAGGACGACATAACCGACTGGCAGCGGGAGGCCGCACTGATGGACCGAGTCTATGCGAATACCTTTTGCAACATATCGGCCGGCGATGCAAACGGCTGTCTTGAGTCGCTGTTCAGCCCCCGGGACCCGAACGACTTCCTTCCCCAACTCATTGAGTTGCAACTCGGAGATCGCGAGGATGAGACGGGCCTGTTCCGTGTGCACGACCTAGACTACTGGCGCCGAAGCATTTCCCGAGCACCTGTCAACACGAGAGCCTGGGTTCTTCAGGAGCGTTTCCTCTCACCGCGGGTCCTTCAGTTCGACAGACGCCAGGTGCTCTGGGAATGTCTCGAGGTCTCCGCCACGGACACCTGCCCGAAACACATCCCGATGAATCTTATGGGCCGAGACTACCTGCTGTTCAAGAGCTTGGTGCCCATTGCCAAAAGCGAAAGCCCTCCTGAGTCCGAAAGAGACGTGAGGCGCACCTGGATTGCCCTCGTTCGGGAGTACACTGCTTGTGGTTTGACTGTCCCCGGCGACAAGCTCATCGCTATCTCCGGCATCGCGAGACACTTAGCTACCTTTGTTGAGGACGAGTACGTGGCCGGAATGTGGCGGAGCTATCTACAGGTCGGGCTTCTCTGGTACGTGAGAAGATTCAGCCTCGGGAAGACAACACGACCTGCCGAGTACCGTGCTCCTTCCTGGTCGTGGGCATCGATTGAGGGTCCGGTTCGGCCGGGGTTGGGCGGCTTTGGATCCTCGCTCATCACTGTGGAGGAGGTGCAGCTCGAATATCTAACAGGTGATGTATTTGGGGCGGTAACGGGCGGTTGGCTTCGTTTGCGTGGTCCGCTTAGGCAGCTGCAACTTGTCCGCAACAACGGGCCCGACCGCAACCCGGCGCGGGAGTGGGACATGATCTTAGAGGGCGTCAACGTTGCCATGCCGGAGACACAGCCGCCGCACGAGCCGTACGGAGTGGAGGTTCGTCTCGACACCCTCCACGAGAGCTTTGCAGAACAGAACGCAAGCGACACGCTCTTTGCGATGTTAGCCCGAAACATCATAATTAAGGAAGGCCACAAAGACGCGGGTCACGGGCATATGCATATCCTGCTCTTCAACCTCGTCGACAAGGAGAACGCCGTCTTCGAGCGTATTGGCCTTGCCAAGACCTGGCACTCAGCCTACAAGGAGGCAATACTAAAGGCAGAGAGGCCAAGGAACGCTCCGGCACTACCGGGCGTTGACTGCGGGAACGGGGTGTATTCGATTTGTGTCATTTAGCATCGATGCTACTCGCACATATACCTGAACTCACTCCTTCCTCCGTAACCGTTGCGATGCCGGAAGGCACCGTATTCGGGCCCATTACGGGCATGAGACGGTTGACCTTTACGGTGGAGAAAGCCGACCCCGTCAACTGCCCTCTGAAGTGGAAAGAGGTGGAAGAGGAGATGTTTCCAGAAATTACACCGCGCTCGAATCTATATCGACAGCTTTGGAAAGGCCTGATCTGTCCCTTAACGAGCTTCGTAGCTGCTCCACCTCGAGCACTATACGACTTTCTGTTCGGGCTCGTCGCATCCAACCTCAACTGAGCGAACCGCCTTCCAACAATAAGGTGGAAGACGAAGGGAAGAAGGCTACGTTGAGGCCTGGACCAGAACCAGGATACGGATGAAGGTATGCCAGCATTCAACTTTAGTTCCGATTCCTATTCAGCTGCTGACACGGGCCATCGGATGGCTACAGGTTCGCGTTTGCGAACAAGCGCGTTGTTGCGACTTTGATTAGTCGGATTATGGGTGTGAGCAGGAAATTGGTGGGAAATTCCGCACCTGCAGAGTACCCGACACGAAAAACAATAATCGAATAACTATTGAGGCGGATCCAGGTCATTATTAAGTCGGGAATTTACATACCTCACCCCTGCACACGGCCTTAACTAATTCCGGAACCCTTTGCGTTCGGCCTTGGCAGGCATGACACACTCAAGTGACGCTTAGCCCACTGGCCATGCCGCGACTTTCTGAGGAAGACGTGTACGACATTGTGCCCGATTCGGAAGGCGAAGGTCTGTCCTAGGCCAGCAGACAAGCTGCGGCGGGAGACTCCCGCGCTGCCAAGTTCGCCAGATCCACGGTCCACCGCAGGAGGATCGAGGGCAGTCCTCAAGTTCGGCAACTCTCTCGTGACCAACTGAGCCAGTATCAGCGGGTTCAAGACGACGAACCGATGCCGCAGGACGACTATAAGTATGTCGAAGGGCAGCGATATCGACGGCGGCAACAGCAATAGTGGCAGCAAGGTCGAGAGTTGAGTCAATCGAGTTTCGTAGTCAACCCTCGGGGCCATAGCGCCCCTTCGCAGCAGGCTGGCGAGGCCGAACGCGACGCGGGGGACATCGGCGACCTGGTCGTCAGTGAGCTTCCGCGTGATTTGACCAGAAGTACTGTCAAATTCGCCATGTCTCTGGCCAAGTCGGGCCGCACTGCCTAGGAATGGCTGAGACAGAACCGCTGGCTAGGTACCTACTAAACACTAACAAAACCACTGTTTTCCTAACATCTCGCCACAACGAGATTGTACAGATAAAAAACAGTGACAATGAGCGAATCCCGGACTAGATACCTAGTCCTTATAGACACGTACGACGTATATCGCAGGCGATGGAGCGCACGGAAAGGTATGAACAGAGAGTGTATTAGGTTCTGTCTAAGTAAGAGAAAAAGGAACGAAATGGTAGTTAGGGGACCACCCTAATATACCTTAGGAAACGGCCCGTGCGTAGCAAACGGCCGTTCCGGGGCTCTGGGCATATGGATTCCGTACCCACATGCTCGGCTCTCTTATGACAACGTGCCAGAGAGGCATCGTGAGCGCTCCAAGCGCGTTTGCGCCATGTTCACGACGCCGCCGGCCAAAGGGGGCTAGGGCCTTTCCCAGGAACATGCCGACACAGAATACGCGGACGCGGTTCTTGGGATGTGCGCATCCCTCTATGATAGGAAGATCGCGCCGGAAAACATCCCGCGCGAGCCTTTCGACATGCTCGTCTGGGATAGGCTCTATAGGGAGCCTCGGTAAGTCGCTCGGTTTGCGCTACTGCATCAATGTCTGGAGGACAAAGCTGACCATCCCCCTCCGCTAGATATTTCGTCTCCGTGGGCGGGCGAGGCGGAACGCGCCGAGTGGAGCCCGGATCCTGTCGCATCGATATGCAGGCAGTACTTTCGCGCTGAAGAGGCTGCTCGGCGCCAGGAATTCCTGAACAGCCACGCCGCGGACATGGCGATGACCCTGACGGCAGGGCTCCGGGTCAGGAGGCTCCCTGAACCGGTCGTCGAGTCGTTGAGCGACACGGCGAGTGAGGCGGGTGAAGGGCGCGCTGGCCCGTCTAGCGCCGCGAAGGCTGCAGATGCCGCGATGCAAGCCAACCCAGAGCGTCCTGTCGATGTCCCGGCCACCGCTAAGATCACCACGCGCAATCCACTTGGCTTCTATCTTCCGAGAGAGTTCAGATGGACGTATCACATGGGATGAAAGACGCATCGCATGGTGATGGGATGGAAGTATGACATGGCCATCTCAGACGGGATGGTACAGCCATCCGGAAGATCCTGCCGCCCAAAGACCACTTGATCCGAAGTTTTCTTTGTTCTGCCTTGCTCTACCCGTCGATTCAGATCGATCGACCCAGGAATCCAGGATAACATGAGTCTCGGTTGGGCAAGCGACGGCACTCGTGTCTTCGATCGACAGAGCGCGACGACAGACGAAAGACCCTGCTTCCAGATGTCCAGATACACTTGGTATCTCAGTGTCGGGAACGTGTTAAGGGGGTCTCCTTCGCAGGTTCGGTGTCTTCTCCTTATTTCTCTCCGCGGTAGGTTATTCCCCTATGGTATTCTGTGTCCTCCCTGGAGCGCAGCCTTCCCTGGCCGCTTGAGGTTAGCCTTCCACTGATAACATTTCAGGCGGGGACCCATCCCGCCTGCGGTAGCCAAAAAAAACCCTCGGAGACGAGCCACTCGAGGACAACAAATCTGTACACGGCGGAAGCGAGCCAGATACGGCACCGTGAAGAGGGCCAGAGGCTGCTGGACACAACGGCGCAGAGAGATGAGGAGTGTGCGGAGAAAGCTACTACGCACCGTCACCGATGCAGTGCAACAAGCAGACTTTCGGAGGGGTCCGAGACGAACTCCGGAAGGAGGCCTCTTTTCAGCACCACCGAGCAAGAGGACCTACCCCAACTAGATCATGGGGTCCACCTCCACACATACACCGGTGCTTCTGAGTCAGACATTGCGAGCCTGAGGGTTGTCGAATCGGTAGCAGGTGAACATTGGTTGTTGAGAAATCCTGTTGTACGGTCGATATTGTGACCTGTTTTTAGCCGTGTCGCATTTATGCTTTGGGGTGGTTTGAGGTTATGGGGAAGTACATGAGAAAGGGGATCTCGGGGGTGAGCGGACGGCACGATGGGTCCCTGGTAGTCTGGAACGAACCAACGATCAATAAGGTTTTTTTTTAGCGCTGGCAAGCACGAGAGAAGAACTAGCACATACAATGTAGAGCTTGACGCCGGGGGACGCCGGGGGGCGGGGTGGTTGCTGGGGAGTGCAATCGATGAGCCTGCCGGTCTCAGGGAAGCTCTCATCAGTGCGAAGTAACCGCCAATTCGCAAGTCACCATGAGGGCACCCAACGCAGCCCAACCCCGCCGCGGACAGCAGCGTGGCAGACCCTCGTGGAAGAACGGGCTCTCGACACAATCAATGTCTGCACGTTATTCGCCATGTACTACGTTGGCAGCGACCCGGGCAGAGCAGAGGCACGGCGGCACCGCAAGACCTCGCGGAGGCAACGACAATCAACGCCGCAGTCGAACTAGGGAGCCATCTCAGGGTCAGGAGCGCTGGCGCATAGCTAAGGGTCCCAGAGCTAAAAGGTCGGGTAATCATACTCTTCTGTCCCACCGCGGTGTTATCGGGATACTCCTTCGATATATCCCGAACGCCAACAATTTATGCGAACTGTTGGCCCGCATCGGCCACGGAGATATCTCGCTGACCAAACGGACGATCTCCCTCAGGCCCAAGTGGGCGCTACAAATCTGGGATACTAAGAAGGGGTTGTGCGGCCTGGGAATCCAGCCTGGGTATGGCCTTCAGCTAGGTCTGACAAAGTGGGATACGTCCCGATGTGTACTAAGTCTATGCGACCTCTTGGCTGGACTACCCTAGTTAGTGGCGACAGTCGTGGTTCTGCACAAGGTGACGAAGAATAGGAAAGGGAGGTTGCCAAGGAAACTGAACCGAGACCTATATTTCGGCAGAGGAACAGAGTGTCATAGCATCGCCATCCAATGCATCTTAGTTCGGCTGCTCACCCAGCTCATACCGATCGCTCTTCACATGATCGTGAGAATGGAATTTCTGACGGTATGCGCATGTTCTTTTTCAAAGGCGATGGTGACTACCATATTTGCAGACCGCTTGCTGACCAGCTTCCAGTGGACCGGTCAACAAAGTGACATTCCCAGACGACCCAGCTGTCCCACGGACATTGAATACTCCCCTGCCACATCCACCTCTCAGCAAATGAGAGCACGAGCTGAGCTTAGCACGTAGGTATATATTTTCAGCCATCTCCTTCCTCCGCGTAGAGCATACGTACATCAGTAACCGGGTATCAACACCACACCCCACCAATCAGTCAAACATCTCGCCAATCTCTTCCCCCTCGTCAGGGGTAACCGCCAGCTCGAGCAGCTCGTGCGCAAGCTCGACCGTCTCGGCGTCGATGCCGGCCTCCAGCACCAAGTCCTCCTCGGCAAAGTTCAGCCTCGCCAGCGCGAGGAAATACCGCTGCGACCCGCCGTATGAGGCCGCCAGCTTGGTCGACGTGTTCGCCACGTCTGCGGTCTGCGGGTCCGTGACCAGGAAGTGCAGAAGCCATGTGGCATGCGAGACGATACGGCAGAGGGCGGCCATGGCCTCAAGTTCTGCATCATTCAAGTCCCCTTCAGCAACCGCAGCCGCCTTATCATCCACACCATCCACTGTGTTCGGATCCCCCTGATCCAGGCCCATCTCGTCTCCGTTCACGGTCTGGGATGCTTCGCTGGGTTCTTTCCGCAATTTGTCCGCCGCTGGCTGCGTCGGGGGCAGGTCCGAGTCATACAGCCGATCGATCGCCCAGCATAGCACGGTGACAAGGTGGGGGATGGCGACATCGCTCTCGGCGATCTGCAGCGCGCCAAAGGGGCTTGTGGCGAAGACAATCAGCGTCCCCAACGCGGCCGACTTCGCGAGCAGCTCCTTTTCTGAGCCTGGCGCTGCCCACCGCGGTGACTCGCAGAGAAACGACGAGACGCAATCGATGATCGTGGCAGCAACTGTCTCGGGACTCCTCACCTCCCCGCGGCCTGTCGAGGGGTTCGTGGCGGACGGGATGGGTCCAATGCTATCAGGCGACGCAGATGTGCGCAGCAACGACATCATGGTGAGCCAGTCAGTCTCCGGATGCTTGGGCGAGAGCATCATCAGGACGAAGTCGAATTCCATGGCCCTCCAGAAGTCGAGCTGCGCAGAGGGCTGTGGCGAGTCGCCGTCTGCGTCGTGAAATGCCGGCGTTATACATCCCAGGGCGGCGAGGTAGAGCAGCGAGAGACAGTGGGTGACATCGATGTTTTGACATAGCTGTCGTATGACAGCGTCGGGGTGTTCGGACAGGTCCCCATCGGCGCTGTGGAGGCGGGGCACTGCCACGAGGCGGCAGGTCGTCGCACAGACGGGAATGAGAGACGAGATGATCTGCGGGGCAACGGCAACCGTGTTGAGATGCAGCGTGTACGACAGCAACGCGGCGAGATAGTAGATGGGCCCATAGTACCTCTCGGACAGACACTGGTGCCACATTTCGATCAGGAGATCCCCGAACTCTACCAGGAGACTTAGTGGGTCTCCGGGGATCCCCATCTGGGGGAGTTTCTGAAAGATGAGCGATGCAAGGGATTGTTTCGGGTCTGACGGGAACGTGTAGTGCGAGAACACGTCGAACGTGGGCGGCTGTCCGCAACTTGTAGCGTGGTCGAGGAAGAGCCGCAGGAACTAGGCACGAGTTAGCAGCGCCACCAAACCTCAGGCGACACGGACTTACATCAAACGGCAGGGAAATCGCCTTCACAGAGGCAGGGCGGGGCGTGGTGCTGGCCGCGTGTCCATCGCCGAAGGGCGCGTCCCCCCCGTCTATCTCCAGCGCGAAGGTCGGGCTGTCGACGATCGGGCGCTTCCTCTTCCCCTTGGTGGGCGTGCGCTCCGCAGGAGAGAGCACGGCGGGCGCAGAGTCTTTCCTCCTCAAGGTCTGCCCCTTGCTGGGGCTGGACAGGACCTCAACGCCATCGAACCCATCACCTATGCTCCATGTCCGGTCCTTCCTCGGGGTTCCGGGACCGTCCTTCCGTCTGGACTTAACCCGGCCCAGCTCCTCTCTAAGGTCCTGGCGGGCAAACTGCAGTTCGGTGGCGGTGGTGCGCTCGGCGGCCTTGATCTGCTCGATGACGCGCTCTTGCTTGGCGAGCTGCTCGGCGTTCTCTTTCTTCAGGCGTGCCACATCGGCCTCGTGCGTGACCCGGACCTTGTCATACTTGGACCGCAAGATGGAGGCTTCCCCCTTGGCGGCCGTGAGGTCCGACTCCAGCTCCGACAGGCGTGCTTGGAGTGCCGCGATGATCTCATTCTGGTTTGCCGGCCCGGTGCCATGGAGCGCCTGTGACGCCGGGGCGGCAAAGGGACGGGTTACTGGCGGAGGAGGGCGGGCGAACTGCGACTGCCGGGGCGGCGGCTGCGGCCTGGCGGGATACCGCTGAGAGGGCAGAGGCGGTTGGGTGGGCCGTGACGGCGCCGGATACTGCGGTTGCGCGAGGTAGGACGGCCTGGGGGGGGGCAGGTGCTGGTTCCATCGCTGCGTCCCGGTGGAAGCGGTGCCGTGGCGGGGCTGCTGGACCGGCTGAGGCTGTGGTGGCGCCGGGCGGGGCGGCGGTTGGGCGAGCTCATCAATCACGACGGTATCATCGAGGTCGTCGTCCTCGAACTCGTAGTCAAATGCATTGTGCTGCGTCGGCGGCGCGGCTTGCGAATGCGCCTTCTGGGCCTGCGTGAACTGCACGGCGTTGTTTTCGAGCTCCTGCAGCGCCGTGTCGTTCAGGTCCTCGAAGCCGTCGTCCGAGAACTCATCCATGGCCGCCTGTTCTTGCGTCCAATGCCAGGCATGACCTTGGCATTGGGAGACGGACGTGCTGATACATATGAGACGCCGAGAGCCTCGACGTTGGTGGGCTCCCGTCTCAAAGATAAACCCTCAAAGTTCAATCAACACGCCGAACCGGAACGCGATGCAGCGCGCGGAAGTTCGGTCATGCCCCACCTGTCTCTGTTCCTGGCAACAAGTTGGCGACCGGGTCTCGGCGCGCCAAACTTTCCCGATCGGTGGGTCATTTTCCAGGCATGTGATTCGCGGCGGCAGCCTCCGCGAGATCTCTCGCGATAACTGTCCATGGCAGTTTGGACGTTTCAAAAGCTCTATTCAGTTGTGCGACGCTGTAGCAAACAAGACCATAGTGTCTCGGTGCTTGCTGTTAATTCTCTGACCTCGTTCTAAATGGCGAGGGTCACTCCGGGCTCGAGTTGCACGCAGCGCCGCGTCATAGCCTAGCTCGCCTAGTTCCGATCAATGGCCCCACTTTCGAGGCCCTGGCACCGGGATTGACGTAGTGCACGCTCAGGATCCAAACAGCGAAATTTCAGACGCCAATCTGTCTTTATGGATGGTCGAATGTTGAACTCGTGAACCCAACCCAATAGCTGATCCGCCACCTTGCTCTCCCATCTGTCCCACGGATTCGCAACGGCGCCCGCTGCTAATCCCAGAACAACGGCCCGCGCCAACGCCTGCGACACTTCTCCGCAATCCTGCGACCCGCTCCACATCCCCGGTCGAGCCGAGCTGGAAGTGCGCATCGAGCGCAGAACCGACCTTCTCCCCCAAATCTGTCAGTGCTCGTTGCGCCTGGTCGCTCTGCCTTCGATCGGACCTCACTAACAGCCTACAGCTGCAACTCTCTTCTAGATGACGGGCAGATCGCGCCGGGGGGTCAAATTCCCCCACGCCAAGCACAACGGCCACGACGGCCGTCGTGCTAGCTTCAGCGATGTCAGCGAGGAAGGGTCGCCGGCGAAGTTGAGAGGCTCTGGGACCCTCGAGAACATAGAAGAGGTGCGTCCGTCTGCGCCATATTTCTGTGCTTCCGGCTGACCTTCATGGCCGCAGAAAACCCAATCGCCTGAAGAGCAGCAACAGTCCGAGTACGAAAAGAAGAAGGCCAACTTCATCACGCGCACCTTCTGGACCCTCGTCATGATCGCCGGATTCTTCGCCGCCCTGTTCATGGGCCACGTCTACATCCTCGTGATCATCACGGCCATACAGATAATATCGTTCAAGGAGGTCATCGCCATCGCCAACGTGCCGAGCCGTGCGCGCGACCTGCAGTCTACCAAGAGCCTTAACTGGTACTGGCTGGCGACGACCATGTACTTCCTGTACGGAGAGAGCGTTGTCTACTACCTAAAGCACATCGTCCTGGTCGACAAGGTCCTGCTGCCCCTCGCGACGCACCACCGCTTCATCAGTTTCATCCTCTACGTCTTTGGTGGGTGTCTCTCTGTGCAAGCTTAGATACAGCACTAACCCTGCATTTAGGCTTCGTGTTCTTCGTCGGCTCGCTCAAGGCCGGCCACCTCAAGTTTCAGTTCTCGCAGTTTGCCTGGACGCACATGGCGCTGTTCCTCATCGTCGTGCAGGCCCACTTCATCATGAACAACGTCCTCGAGGGCATGATCTGGTTCTTCCTCCCCGCGGCGCTCGTCATCACAAACGACATCTTCGCTTACATCTGTGGAATTACGTTTGGTCGCACCCAGCTCATCAAGCTGTCGCCCAAGAAGACGGTCGAGGGCTTCGTCGGCGCCTGGATCATGACGGTCCTCTTCGGCATCGGCCTCACCTCGGTGCTGCTACGCTCCAAGTACTTCATCTGCCCGGCGACGGACCTCGGGGCCAACATATTCACGGGCCTGGACTGCGACCCGAACCCCGTGTTCATCCCGCGGACCTACTCCACGCCGCAGCTGTTCTTCCTGCCTGACAAGTACCAGGTCAGCGTGACCATGGCACCCATGCAGATCCACACCTTCTTCTGGGCCAGCTTCGCCTCGCTCATCGCCCCGTTCGGCGGCTTCTTCGCCTCGGGCCTGAAGCGGACCTTCAAGATCAAGGACTTTGGCGACTCGATCCCCGGCCACGGCGGCATGACCGACCGTATGGATTGCCAGTTCATCATGGGGCTGTTCGCGTTCATCTACTACCACACCTTCATCGCTTTCAAGCGGTCCTCGGTCAGCCACGTTATGGAGTTGGCCATCATGGAGTTGACGGCCGACGAGCAGATCGAGGTCATCAAGGGCGTGCTGAAGTACCTGAGTAACCAGGGTGTTGTCGAGCCCGAGGTATGTTTTACCGTTCAGGAAGAGGACCGTGCTTTTACTAACACAGCGGTACAGACGCCCGCTTCGTTCGACAAGCTCCTGGCAGCGAGCAGGCACATATGAGAGTGGCAGCTGGGAGTTGGTGGTTACTGGCCGCAACCCGGACGGTGCATTTTCCCCTGGCGTTCGGTTTCAACAAGCGGAGCTCGGGCTTCCGTGTATGTGTTATGAGATGTCCACCCTTCTGTGACCCTGGGTAGCACCATATCAGTAATTTGCAAAAGTTGAATGCCATATATGTCGATGTAAGGTAGCTATTCGAGATAATGCGGGCAGTTGGCGTGAATATGTGAGAGGACTGTAGCACTGAAGAGCATCTCTTTTGTCCGTCTTGAGGAACCTGGTCCCTGCGACATCCTCGAGAGTCGACCGGACTGCACAGATTTCCTAGGATCCCAGATGGTGATGGAAGAAGGGCCTATTCCAGACTCCGGCCAGGCTAGCTTAGACATGCAAGGGTTATATATACAAGCAGAGTTCATCTCTCATCATCCCCATCACGCAGCCCCGCTCATTGCTCATTCACAAACAACCCGGCCATGCCCATGCCCGTGCCGATGCACATGCTGGTCAGCAAGATCTTCTTGCCCGTCCGCCGGCACTCGCTGAGGCCTGTGACGATCTGGCGCGCGCCCGTCGCGCCGAGCGGGTGGCCCAGCGCGATGGCGCCGCCGCGCGGGTTCATCTTGGCCCAGTCCAGGCCCAGCTTGTCGCGGCAGTAGACGGCCATGCTGGCGAAGGCCTCGTTGATCTCGATCACGTCGACGTCCGCCAGCGACAGGTTGTGCTGCGCCAGCAGCTTCGGGATCGCCACCGTCGGCCCGATGCCCATGATGCGTGGCGCCAGGCCGGCCACTGTCGAGCCGACGTATTTCGCCAGGATCGGCTGGCCCAGCTTGATCGCTGTTGACCGCTTCATTAGGAGGATTGCGGCGGCTGGTCTCGGTTAGCGGTGGGTGGAGAGAGATGAAGCCAAACGGAATTCGGACTCACCTCCATCAGTAACCTGGCTGGCATTCCCACCCGTGGTGGTTGGGCCCCACTGCGGGAAGGCGACCCGGATCTTGGACAGGCCCTCGGCCGTGGTGCCCGGCCGGATGCCGTCGTCGCGGGTCAGCGTGACGGACTTCCACTCGCCGTTGGCGTCCTTAACCCGCGTCTGGATGGGCACGATCTCGTCGTCGAAGAGCCCCGCCTTCTGGGCTCGCTCGGCGCGCTGGAAGCTCTCGGCCGCGTACTTGTCCATCTCCTCGCGCGTGATGCCGAAGTCGCGGCTCACGTTCTCGCTCGTCCACCCCATCGGCTGCATGCTGTCGACGGCCTCCTGCGAGTGCTTGGTCACCTCCTCGTCGAACGGCTTGTCGAGGGCGTCTCCGCCGATGGTCATCTGCTCGGCGCCCATGGCGACGCCGATCTCGATGGACCCGGAACTGATGGCGTGGGCGATGTCGGCAACGGCTTTCAGGCCGGAGGAGCAGAAGCGGTTCAGGCTCGACCCGCTCGTTGTGTTGGGGAAGCCGGCGGCCAGCATGGCGGCCCGCAGCTTGTACGCAGCCTTGCTATCCGAGACCTGGAATTCGTGTCAGCAAGATTGGGCGTCTTTATCCGAGGGGAAACCTCCGCACATTTCCAAGGCAGATATCCTCCACGAGCGCTGGGTCTAGCTTGCTCCGCTCCCTGACCTCCTTGAGCAGCGCGTATACCATGTACTCGAGGGAGGTATCCTTGAAGCCGCCCTTCTTCGCTTTGGTCAGCGGGGTTCGGACGGCGAGCGTGATGACGATGTCGTCGGCATTCTTAGACGTGCTGTTGTCGAGGATGTCAGCAATGTGAATGGTGAGATCCCAGACAGACGGGATACATACATTTGGGAGAGCGCGCTGCCCGGGGACAGGTGCTTGAGGATCGAGCCGAGCCGTTCAACCGCCATTGCTGCAGTCGTGTGCGTTAGGCGGGAAGGAGGTATGGCAACTGCAAGTGAGGCGGCGTGTAGGTTGAAACAAACCGTTGACGGCTCAGATATAGGAGGCAGCGACGTTGCCTTTGGCGGTGGCCATCGCAATGTGGGGTCCGGGTTGCCGAGGCATCTCTCGGCCCTAGCTGTTCGTTCGTTCAGTGATCATGCACTCGTGGCGCTGGGGTAAACTGAACCGAGCCGACAACGGTCTCGGCTCTGCGGGGAAGAAAGCTCCCCAGCCGCGGGAACGCCAACGGCACGCCGGCTCCACTGTCGGCAGTTGCAGGCGCCGCTTTCATCCGACATAAAATTCCGCGGCAGCCCTGCAACGTATGCGCTGGCCTTCTTGAACTGGATCATTGTGGCAGCGGCTCCATACATCTACGGATGTACAAAGTTGGTCGGTCGCCGCGCTCAAAGTTGTCGGAAGCTTTGAGCAATCTTGAGTCCTGCCAGTGATGGTTCGTACTGGGCGCAGTCAAGGTGAGGAAGGTGCGATGGCCGCATGTGTCCACCAGCACCTACCTCAGTAATAATTGTCTGGCTGTGGAGGCCGGACCTCACTGATTGATCAACAAACATTCTACCATACGAGTACGTTGACATACCGGTTAAGTCTTTCGCTTTGGGCAAGGTAGCCGCCCATCGTTCAGTGAACTTCTCATCATCACCCTGTATTACAGTTCCACCATCAGCTCTATCGATCTTATCTGTCCGCAGGGTCAGGGAGTGCTACGGAAGTAACCAGCTTCGGCGTTTGCCCCAAGAGCTTTTGTCACCCTCGATCGCCCATCTGCAATTCGACTCGCTTCGACTGGACCTGAATCCAACATCGTGTTGCGACGTCATCCCGGAGCTTCCAAAGATATGGCTGCAGCTTCCATTGGCCGGCACCCCTGCACAGCTGCTTGTGGCTCTCGCTATCGACAGCCAAGCCCGAGAGGTGAAGCGGCTGCAGTCCGGCCCCGCCGGGCGTGGGCAGCGAGCATTGGCGTTCCTTGACTTCAGCTCGTGTTGAGCAAGAAAACTCAGCCGCGCCTTGCGGGACTTCAAACCTGAATTGACCATGTCTTCTTTACATCGCGGTTTTTGTCTTCCTTGACAACTGCTTCTGCGCGACGTTGGGTTGTCTGCCGATGAGTCACTCGTTTTTCCCTAAGTCGGCGGTAATAACGGAGACAAGAGAGGAAGCTCTACTTTGGCCCCTTGCCGATCGAGCCGGAGCTGTGTTCAAGGAGGACAGCATTCGACGCTTCTTCTACGGCAGCTAACCGAGACCCTGCCGGTCGAACGAGGCCTCGACTTCCGGGACTAGAGCGGACGTGCAACTGCACCATGCTGCCGTGCTCCGCGGCCCTCGTGGCCCTATTGGCGGCGCTGCCTTCGTTCGTCCTCCCCGCGGCGGCGGACTCTTCCTCCAAGCGCGGCCTGGTGCACACGCCGAACGAGACCACGCGGGCAGACGACACCATCTGGGTCCAGAAGCCGACCGACCTGACCTGGTACTACAACTACAAGCCCGAGCCCGAGTCCGCCTTCCAAGACATCCCGCAGTCCGAGTTCGAGTTCGTGCCCATGCTGTGGGGGGCACCCGCCAGTCTCGACGACACCTCGTTCCTGTCCACGGTGAGGAGCCTGATCGAGGACAAGAAGATCAACATCACTCATGTGCTCTCGTTCAACGAGCCCGACGGGCCGTTCGCATACGGGGGCAGCAACATGGAGCCTGCCGATGCGGCGCAAGTTTGGGTCAAGAACATGATCCCGCTCCAGCAGATGGGCATCCGGGTGGGCCTGCCCGCGTGCACCGGAGGGCCTGGGGGGATTCCCTGGCTACAGAATTTCCTGAGCGAGTGCTCCAAGCTGGTGAGCACGGGCGACAAGACACAGAACTGCACATACGACTTTGTCACGATCCATTGGTATGGCAACTTTGAAGGGTTGGCGAGCCATATGGGCCAGTACTCGGCGACGTGAGTCCAGATCTCCTCGAGAAACCCTGAACCTGGGCTGATGGTTTGCAGCTTCCCCAACAAGACCATGTGGATCACCGAGTACAACATCGACAACCAGGACCTGCAGACGACGCAGGCCTTCTTCAACATGTCGGCCGACTACTTTGACCGCCTGGACTTTGTCGAGCGGTACTCGTACTTTGGCGCCTTCCGCAGCGACGTGTCCAACGTGGGCCCCAACGGCGCCATGCTCAGCGCCGACGGCAACCTCACCGACATTGGCGCCTGGTATCTCGGCCGACAGGCCACTGGCGTCCAGCCCAGCCAGGGCGAGTCATGGGGTTTCCGCTCAGCGGTCCCGCATGCGAGCGTGGCGCTACTTAGTGCCTGGTTGATCATGCTACTCGTTGGAGTTTGACCAGCACCCTCTTCACTTGAGGTCGTGCACGGCATCGGTGCCTTTGGCTGTCTTATTCTTTTGGTCATTATTTGCCATGTATACCAACATATGCTCTGCTCATGTCCATTTGTCCACGTGTACAACACCATTCAGATGTCTCATACGGTGGTTTCCGTACATCAGCCGATACCCGGTCTCGCCTGGCAAAAGGGGCTTGGACATGGAGTTGTGATCAACAGAAGTTGGAGACAGTAAATGCGGCTAATAGACTCTGTACGATATTCGGCGCGGCCAAACTCTATGGGGACCCTGAGATTCGTCGGAGGAAAAGGCACTATTGGTGCTTGTCCAACCTTGCCTCACCTGCCCAGTTCGATCTTTCATGGACGCCAGTAAGACATGCTTCAAGATTGGATGTGTTCACTTGTCTGTCGCCTATCTCTGCGCGCTGAATGGAGGAAAGCGTTGTCTCATATCCGATAGGCCATCGTGAGAAGTTATATCTTGAGTCTCTGGCAAGTACTAACGATGTAGGTGATCTCTCCATACTCGATCTCAGTTCGCCACGCACTCATGATGGATAATTTCGCCATGAAAGATGCCTTGGCCGGCCATGTGATCGTTCAGGAGATCGAACCTGCATCCAGCAGGCCCCGAGTGACGTTGACGGAAGAGGATGTAAGGTTCATCACTTCTGGGCTGTGCAATACCGTCGGTTGAGCTAACTGCATGTGACAGAACAGACGGATCCGCCGGAAAACGGACCAAGCCATCCTGACGGTTCTTGTCTGGGTCTACTTCCTCCAGGTAATCCTTCCCCCGACCAGTTTACTCAAACAGACACTCACATGGAGGTTACAGGTCCTTGACAAGATCGTCCTCGGACTCAGTGCCATCTTCGGCCTGCAAGAAGACACCCACCTGACGGGCAACCAATACTCGATCATCGGCTGCATCGCGCCGGCCGCGCAGCTGGCGTGGCAGCCGTTCTCGTCCATCCTCATCGTGAAGGTGCGCCCGCGTCTCCTGATGCCGGCCATGGTGCTGGGCTGGGGCATCGCGCAGGTGTGCGTGCCCGCGTGCCGCAGCTTTGCCGGCCTCGTCGCCACCCGCTTCTTCCTGGGCCTGTTCGAGGCCGGCTGCCTGCCCCTGTTCTCCATCATCACGGCGCAGTGGTACCGCCGGTCCGAGCAGCCGGCCCGCGTCGCCGTGTGGTACAGCACGCACGGCCCGGCCACCATCGTTGCGGCGCTGCTGTCGTACGGGCTCGGGCATGCGAAAGGGGGGGCTTTGGCGCCGTGGCAATGGTTCGTATATGACCTTCTCCTGAGTCTGGCACAGGAACTAATGTGTTTCCAGGATCTACCTCGTCACCGGCCTCCTGACCATTGTCACCGTGCCCCTGATCTACTGGAAACTGGATGACGACGTCTCTTCGGCCCGCTTCCTGACCGTCGAAGAACGCAGCCAAGCACTCGAGCGGCTGCGAGCGAACCAGAGCGGGTCTGCGTCGCGCGATTTCAAGTGGACGCAGGTCGTGGAAACGTTCGTGGACATCAAGTGCTACCTGTTCGCCGCCATGTCCTTTGCCATCAGCTTCGGCGCCCACGTCGCAAGCCTGTTTGGGCCGCTCCTTCTCAGCAGCTTTGGCTTCGGCCACTACAGAATAACCCTCCTGAACATCCCATTTGGCGTCCTCCAGTCGACCGCCATCCTCGTGGCGGCGTGGGCGGCGTCCAGGACGCGGTGGAAGTCGCTGCCGCTCGTGACCCTGCTGGTCTTCATCCTGAGCGGCTTCGTGCTGCTCTATGTCCTCCCGCACGGCCATTCCCGTCTCCCCGGCCTGCTCGTCGGGTACTACTTCCTCGCTTTCATCGTCGGCTGCAACAACACAGCCGTATCATGGATCCTGGCCAACACGGCCGGGCAGACCAAGAGGTCGGCGATGATGGCGCTGTTTAACGCGGCGTCGTCCACGGGCGCCATCATCGGCCCGTTGCTGTTCGACTCGGCCGACGCGCCGGCGTACCGCGCGGGGCTGCGGAGCACCGTGGGCGTGTACGCGGCCGTGATCGCCGTCGTCTTGCTGCAAGTGGCCACCCTGATGCTGCTGAACAAGCTGCAGGCGCGGCGGCGCGTCGCGAACGGCAAGACGGCCCGCATCCACGACCACTCCATGGAGGCCCGGTATGTGGACATGCGCTTGGGGAATGAGGAGAGCGTGGGCGGGCGAGCGTTTGCGGACTTGACGGATCGGGAGAACGATGAGTTTGTCTACGTTTATTAGGCGAGAGGTTCGAGTTCCGTCGATCCTTCTGTTCTTCAAGTGGGATATCACAAGGTCTTCGGGGCGGGCCGGAAGAACACCCGGGCCGTCTGCTCTCTCTTAGATACGCTCAGGTTGTGAGAAAGTCCGGGTATATACCTAAGGTACCCCGCTCTTGGTCATGAGCAGGCAGGCAGCAGGCAGCAAGCACCTCTTATAGTGGTTAAACGTATAAAATATCTGGGTAAGCCTGTGTATCCTGCCTCTCCGTCCATGCGACCTCACTTTTGCGCATCATTTCACGCATAAAGCAAACGTCACCCTCCCCCACCAGGTTTCTTTATCCCATGGCACGTACGAAGATGACAGCGAAGCGATACAGACGTGTCACGACCTTGACGCGATTTCATCTACCGCGGGAGCAGGAGTGGCCAACGTGGCCCGTTGACCACCCGAATGTGCATATCGGCCCTCTTGCGGACGTGCAAGGTGCGTGGAAGCTGAGGGTGGGAAGAATGGTCGAAGAACCGGAGCAGGCTGCCTATATCATCGGTGAGTGGTCATTAGTAAGCCTGAGGGACACGATTTCGCATTTTTGTGACTGACATATCGTCCGGCGGGAACTAGAATGGCGGGACCTGAGTAACCTGGAGGATTTCCTGTCCTCTCCTGCCTGCGCTCAGTTTCTGCGTAACCTCCCTGAAGAAGTGTCTGACTCTGTCAAGTCCAGTTCCTCCGCACTGGGATCCCTGACTCTAGAGGATGCTCCGCCGGCAGCTTCGCGGTTTCTCATCCTGGAAGAGATTACCCACATTCCCCATGGGGAGGTGGAGGGCCGCATAACGCTCAACGCCTTCTTGGTAGCGGGAAAATGCGTCCCCTCCACTGGGTGGCCTCCGTATAAGGCCCTGAGGGAAGTGTTTGGCAGCTTTCAACCGCGCGGCTCAGAGTTCATCAGGGGTCATGGCGCACGGTGGGGCGCAAGGTGGCAGCAGTACAAGACAACCTGGTTCTGGGTGCTTGCGGAAGACGGGTGGGTGGAAAGTAAGTTTGGAAAGAAGTCGGAGCCGGACCAGGATCGGACCGTCATCTGTGAATTCCACCGTTGGCCCCGTGAATGGGGCGTCACCCCGGAGCACGAGGAGGCGTCGGCGGCGGACCCGCAGGCGAGGGAGTCGTGGAACGAAGCTGTGGCCAAGGTCATGCCTCCGGTTACGGCTTGGGTGCAGGAACGCTGGGACATCCGGAAAGTGCCGCTCTTTGATCCTGAAGAGGACATCGATCTGGATGATATTGAACATGAAGAGTAGCTGCGAGGATTTCCAGTGAAGACTACGGATCTCTGGAGCTACGAATGGGCGGGTTGGAGTGATAGTTTGCAACCGTACTGGTATTTCCAGTCGATTACACACCTGATGACACTCTCCGGCCCGCAACTTCCCCACGCACCAGGCCAAGCTACCCCGAGCTGCCGTGTAAGCCGGCTAAATTCAGAGTGGAGCGATCCCGATCCTCCCTCCCCTCTCTCCTCTCCCTCCACGAGAATAATATTTAAGTACGCTGTCCTACCGGAGTATCGGCTTCACGATTATGCTGTTCAGCACACTGCAGGAAACAGAATCGCCACCATGCCGCTGGTCCGCAACCCCATCCTGCCCGGCTTCAACCCGGACCCGTCCATCGTGCGGGTGGGCGAGGACTACTACATCGCCACGTCCACCTTTGAGTGGTTCCCCGGCGTGCAGATCCACCACTCGCGCGACCTTGCCAACTGGGAGCTGGTGGCGCGGCCGCTGAACCGCAGGAGCCAGCTGGACATGCGCGGCAACCCGGACAGCTGCGGCATCTGGGCGCCGTGCCTGACGCACGACGGGGAGCGCTTCTGGCTCGTGTACACGGACGTCAAGCGCAAGGACGGCTCGTTCAAGGACACGCACAACTACATCGTCACGGCGCCGGCCATCGCGGGGCCGTGGTCCGACCCGGTGCACGTCAACTCGTCCGGCTTCGACCCGTCGCTGTTCCACGACGACGACGGCCGCAAGTGGTTCGTCAACATGCTGTGGGACCACCGCCGCCGCCCGCGCCTGTTCGCGGGCATCGCACTGCAGCAGTTCGACCCCAAAGCCGGGAAGCTGGTTGGCCCGCGCAAGAACATCTTCCCGGGCACCGAGCTGGACCTCGTCGAGGGCCCGCACCTGTACAAGCGCAACGGGTGGTACTACCTGCTCACGGCCGAGGGCGGCACGGGCTACGAGCACGCCATCACGCTGGCGCGCTCGCGCGACATCTGGGGGCCCTACGAGACGCACCCGCACAACCCGCTCCTGACGTCGGCGCACCATCCGCACATCGCCCTGCAGCGCGCCGGCCACGGCGACATCGTCGACTCGCCCGACGGCAGCCAGACCTACCTGGTGCATCTCACCGGCCGACCGACGACCCAACTGCGCCGTTGCGTCCTGGGCCGCGAGACGGCCATCCAGCGCGCCCACTGGGCCGCCGACGACTGGCTGTACGTCGAGAGCGGCCTGCCCGACGCGCCCAACGTGCCTAAGCTGCACGTCGAAGTGCCGGGCACGTTCGACGAGGCCAAGTACTGGGCGCCGCAGCGGTACACCTTCTCATCCGAGTCCGGCCTGCCGCAGGACTTCCAGTGGCTGCGCACGCCGGAACCGGAGCGCATTTTCCGGATTGATGACGACGGGAAGAAGCTGGTGCTGATCGGGCGCGAGAGCGTCGGGTCGTGGTTCGAGCAGTCCCTGGTCGCGCGGCGGCAGACGCATTTCTCGTTTGATGCCGAGACGGTGATTGATTTTGCCCCCGTGGATGAGCGGCAGTATGCGGGGCTCGTGGCCTACTATTGTCGGTTTAACTTTTTTTATCTGACCGTTACGGCAGACGCGGACGGGCAGCGCGAGCTGCTTATTATGGCGTCTGAGGCGTCGTTTCCGCTGGGCGGGCTGAGGTTTCCGTTCCCTGAGGCGGTGCGGATTCCGAACGAGGGGAAGGTGAGGCTGAAAGTGACGATTCGGGGGCGGGCGCTGCAGTTTTGGTATGCCCTGGTGGCGGAGGGGGGGGAGGAGTGGAAGAAGGTTGGGCCGGTGTTTGATGCGAGTATTTTGTCGGATGAGTGCGGCGGGCACCAGGTGCATGGGAGCTTCACGGGTGCGTTTGTGGGTGTGGCCGCGTCGGATCTGAATGGGACCGCGGCCGAGGCGAGGTTTGATTATTTCGAGTATCGGCCGGTGCAGGACAAGAGTGATCGGTATGAGCTGAGCGGTCAGGCGAACTGATGGGTTTGATAGGGAATCTCATGGAGTTCTCGATTCTCCTGGGAATACTGTTACAAATCACAATTCCGTCCCGCTCATGGCCTTCCTTTTGGTTCCCATTCCACCTCGTAAAACCATCTCCGTCAGAGACCAAGAACTCGTCCTGGCAAACTGGAACGATGGGCTGGTTGCCGGAGAGATGTCTCCCTAGAGAGTATTGATAAGTAAAACTAATGAGTAGAGCTCTACAACCGGAAAAGAACGGCCCTAGCGGCCGACTTAGAAACGACAGGTGGGTACAATCCAACAAAAATCTCCAAGGCCCATCGCGGGCAATGTCGTCCCTCGGTTCGTTGGCAAAAGCCGACAATAGTCATCCCCATCCGGTCATCATCTTGCTCTGCCCACGGTTCAACCTCAAACCTCGATCATCCAAACTCTCGCTTTATGCTGGTGAAAAAAATGACTCCCAACTTCCTTCGCGGGGCTTCCTCCTCGAGCGTGACATTCGCCTTCACCATCTCCTCACTCCAAAAGCGGACCCCGATTCAGCGGATACGCGGCCACTAATCTCGTTATGATCTCCCAAAGAAGCACCCTCCACCCCCCCGCCCCCCTCCCCCCCAAAAAACCAAACCAAAACAGAGTTATTCCTCAAGTACGGATGTCCCTACCAAAAGAATCCGCTCACCGCTCTGATATATAGCCGGCAGAATTAGCCGGTATTTACAACAGCTGTATTCGGTCCCAATTAGGAAGGGATAAACTCCCCCGCATCGTACATCTCTTTCCATCATCATCCTCTTCAACGAACCTCTTTTACTATGGTTTACCATGATATAGCTACACGCGCTCAAGCGCTAACTCTCAAGTTGATTGTTCAGCTCGATAATAAGCAGGTGGAAGAGCTTACTGGCATTAAGCCGCGGACTCTTAACGACCTTGCCGATAGAGCTCTCGCACGTGGCTTCGACCCAAATGTCTCCCCCCCTATCATCCTCGACGAACATGTCTGTGATGCTCCAAAGACCGGCCGTCCCTCGAAGAAAGGCGATAATAAAGATGCTGTTCTTGAGAAGGTCCGCCAGAGCCGGTTCGGCCGTGAGATGACATGCGCTTATATCTCGGCGGAGTTAGGCAATACCATCTCGCCAATGACTATCTGGCGTATCCTCCGTACTGCTGGGATGAAGAAGACGAAACCAACACGCAAGCCTGGTCTAATAGAAAAGATGAAGAGAGATCGGTTCGAGTTCTGTCTTCGCTTTGAGCATTGGACTCTCGAAGATTGGAAGCGAGTTATCTGGTCTGACGAGACATCTGTCGTCTTAAACCATCGCCGGGGTGGTTACCGCGTTTGGAGGACCCCTGAGGAGAAGTTCGTCAAGTCTTGTATTCGCGAGCGCTGGAAGGGATACACTGAGTTCCAGTTCTGGGGCTATTTCTCATACGATTCAAAGGGGCCATGTCATATTTGGCATCCAGAGACCGTGCAAGAGAGGAAGGCAGCCGAGAAGGACCTCGAGGAGCTGAATACAAAGCTAGAACCCATCCTCCGCGAGCAGTGGGAGCTAGAAACTGGAATGAGGCGCTTGAAGCTGCGGAATCAAGGCGGACGAGCTCCTCAATGGAGGTGGGATACGAAGCACGGCAAGCTTACACGACGAGAAGGCTCTGGCGTTGATTGGTATCGCTACCAGAAGGAGATCCTGATGAAGAAGCTCATTCCATACGCCAAGCAGTATGGCCCAGATGCTCTTGTTCAGGAAGACCTAGCACCTTCTCACGCCCACCACGCACAAGCTACAATCTTCTCAGCGGCTGGAGTATCAAGACTCGTCTGGTGCCCCAACTCCCCTGATCTTAATATGATCGAGCCGTGTTGGCCGCATCTAAAGCGGGTAATAACAAAGAAGGGAGCTCTAAAGAACAAGAGCCAGGCAGAGATAGTCTAGAAACAGGCGTAGGATGATCTAGAACAGTGGAGGATACAACGTTGGATTGAGAGGATCCCGCACCATATCCAGGAGGTCATTCGCTTGAAGGGCGGGAACGAATACGCAGAAGGGACGTCAAACAAACGCCGTCAAGATGTTGTTCTGTCCCCCGGGCCTAGCACTGAATAACTTCACTGTTTCCTAATAGAGTAGTAGATTCTGGAGAGATGGCAGGAGGTAATTACCTTACACTTCTTTACAAGTGTGGTGGTCTTGGCGCTGAAGGCGGTGAGCGGGTTCTTTTGGTAGGGACATCCGTAGTTCATATCACTCGGGAATCTCCTTGATTAGTGTCCACATGTATTTCTCCAACTTAGCAGCGCACTTGGCGTAACGTATTTTATAAGCGAGCTGCGCACTCTCCACTCCCCTACAACAACTATCCTCAATTGCAAGACAACAACACTAAGAACTGACTATAATTACATCAGAAGCAGCTGAATCAGACGATTCTACAGCCTCTTGGCAAGTGCGGGCATTATGGCCAGGCTTACCGCACACACCACAGCACCGAACCCTCGTACGCGCCCCCCCTGTACTACCACCATCCTGCTCCTTTTCTTGAGCCACCTCCCCAACCATAGCCTTCTGGTCTAGTTGATCCTTTGCATCTTGTACTGCAAGCGATCCCCCAAGCTATATACGTGTTTTTTTGGCTCTCCGGCGCTTGCTTAGCGCCTCGTTAGCCTTGCTGAGCGAAGACACCTCTGCCTGAAGGAGGGCCACCTGGTGCATTATAGCCATTGTACCCTTAGTAAGCTGGTCTACAGCAGCCAACATCGAGGTTGGGGAGCTATTTTGATGGTTGGTAATACGAGTCTTGATAAGCGTTGACTGCGACTCGGCTTCATGGGGGTTGTATGGTGTTTGGAAGACCCAAGGTTGTACAGTGCTAGGCCGTGAGGTCGGGGATGTTGGTGTACGAAGCTGGATATCTAGCTTAGAAAGCACCTTCTCTGGATTGTACAGCATAAGGCCAGACCCTGCGAAGCCGCCTTGGATATTCCTCTTGGTGATGGAGGCAAAGAAGGCCTCGCGAAAGGCGTAAAGGAACTCGAGCTTGCTTACGTGGTTGATATGTGCGCGTATTAAGTCCTTAACCTGGTGGCTGTACGCCTGCTTCATGTGACGAATCTCTTGCCCCAATCCTCTGAGAGGGACAATATGAAGGTATCTTGACAACGGGGTGAGGTTCGGTGAAGCCAAAAGGTTCACAACAATGCTTGCCGCAATGTCTGCACAATAGGTAAGGACTATTGCTTGAATTGCTCACTGAGGAAGCTAGCTATCTGAATGAGTGACAGAAAGGTAGAACTAATTATATACAGCTTCCTCCATGGTGACTATTGGTGTGCTCCTGATGCTCCCGGTGCTCCCTGGGAGCGATGGGATCAATGGGAGTAGATATCCAGGGTCTCCCGGATCAGTGGGATGGGGTAACGGCTCTTCATGGTCACGTTGTTAACCGCGCGGTAGTCTACGCAAATACGCACTCCTCCGCCCGGCTTGCGCGCCAGCAACACCGGCGACGCAACGCTCGACTTCGACGGCCGAACAAAGTCTTTTGCCAGGTTGTCATCGAGCCACCTCTTCAATACGCGCAGTTCCATGGGCGAAAGTGGCCTGTTTCGCGCCGAGGGAAGCTTGGTTCCTGGGAGCAATTCGATCTTGTGGTCGTACGAGCGGTGCGGTGGTAGGGTGTTGGCTTCTTGCGGTAGGAAGGCTTTGTAAAGGTCTCTGTATTGCGGTGGTAGCCTGTTCTTGATATCTTCGGCCGTAGGCGTCGGCTTGTTTGATTTCTCGAAGAAAATATCCGCGTCCTGCTCAGTGATCTTGCGAATGGTTGTGTCTTCCGTCCATAGGGCTCTGATGAATTCGTGGTACGCTTGGGGAAGCCGTTCGGTATAGTCTTCCGGCCGGCCTTCCTTGCGCAATAGACCCCGAAAGAATTCGTCAGGGAGGCGTCGAATGCGGAGGTCCGGCTTGCCCGCTACCTCCTCCAGCTCGGCAAGTGTAGTTCTCATTACCACGACGCCTCTCTCTCTGCACGTGCGAATCATGCCGGCCGTGGTCACAAATTCGATGTCCTGATCGTCGAGCTCTTGGTATGTGGTTCGCATGCTCGTCGGTGTGCGCGGTCGGGCCGTTCCTGCGCGGCGTGTTCCCGCCGCCAAGGTCGCCAGTGCCGGCTTGCGGTGGCCGGGGAGGTTAGGTATCGGCACTCCCCTCGCCTCCTGCGGTGCCATGGCTAGCGGGGGCCCCGTTCCAATGCTCTCTCCCTCTGTGCCGCGAAACGTGCTCTTTTTCTCTGCTCCCGGCGTTGCCTGGCGTGGCGAGCTTTCTCTGCCGCGGTCTTCCCGGTCGCCGGCGGTGGTTGCGTCTGTGCTTGCGGTTCGCCTTCGTCCTCCACTTCTTCCACCGTCATGTGGAAACGGCGCGCGTCTTCCCGGGCTTCTGGTGCTCGTTGCCGGGTAATGTCTAGCGGCAGGCACCGGCCCCGGCATTCCTCTGGGGATTCCAGGCTTAGGCTCTTCCAATCCACCTCTGGGTTGTGCTTCCGTAGCCACAGTAGGCCCAGAATAACCGGGTTGTCCTTCGCGAGCGTTGTGATATAGAAATGCAAAACCTCAATATGATCGCCAATCGCCAGTTTCCTTATAGCTCCGTATTCTATCCATGTTGACGTAGCGCCGTCGGCGAGGTATAGCGGCTTTGGCCTTGCAAGCTTGAATATCGGGATACCGTGCCGTACGGCGAAACCGAAGTCGAGGAATGCCAGGCCGGTATACCCCGAATCTACAAGCGCCATATACGCTATTCTGCGCTTATTGTCATCGATCAGGTAGGAGGACAATATGATAGAATTCTTTGACTGCCCTAACGCATTTAAAACGAGTCTCCTTTCCTTCCTATAATCCCAGTGATTATACCTCCGTGTGCGACTTTGCACGGAGGTTAGGCTTTTCCCTGCCTTTTGAAGTCCTCATCCTCGTATTCCTCGACCTGGTCCTCTATGGAGTTGCT